TTTCCCAAAAACATCTTTCTCTCTGGAAGGAGGGAGGGTGACGCTTCCTCCTTCGGGTTCTGTTTATTTGGCCTCCTGCCTTCTCCCATAAAAGGGCACCCAGCAGCTGCGGCCAGCTGTCCCAGGGCAGAGATTTGTAGGTTAAAAAGGAAATATGCAAACTCTTAAAGATGAAAAGGTTCGATGTGGCCTAAGCTTTCCATGGACTCTACCTACCTGTCTACTTACCTACCTATCTACCTACCTGTCTGTCTGTCTATCTATTTATCAACTCCTTCCTTATCTATCTACCTATCTACCTACCTGTCTACCTACCTACCTACCTATCTACCTACCTGTCTGTCTGTCTATCTATTTATCAACTCCTTCCTTATCTATCTACCTATCTACCTACCTGTCTACCTACCTACCTACCTATCTACCTACCTGTCTGTCTGTCTATCTATTTATCAACTCCTTCCTTATCTATCTACCTATCTACCTACCTGTCTACCTACCTACCTACCTATCTACCTACCTGTCTGTCTGTCTATCTATTTATCAACTCCTTCCTTATCTATCTACCTATCTACCTACCTGTCTATCTACCTACCTACCTACCTCTATCTATCTATCTATCTATCTATCTATCTATCTATCTATCTATCTATCTATCTATCTATCTATCTATCTATCTGTCTGTCTGTCTGTCTGTCTGTCTGTCTGTCTGTCTGTCTGTCTGTCTGTCTGTCTGTCTGTCTGTCTGTCTGTCTGTCTGTCTGTCTGTCTGTCTGTCTGTCTGTCTGTCTGTCTGTCTGTCTGTCTGTCTGTCTGTCTGTCTGTCTGTCTGTCTGTCTGTCTGTCTGTCTGTCTGTCTGTCTGTCTGTCTGTCTGTCTGTCTGTCTGTCTGTCTGTCTGTCTGTCTGTCTGTCTGTCTGCCTGTCTGTCTGATCTTAACTTAGGTATACAGATACAGTACATATACATACATACATACATACATACATACATACATACATACATACATACATACATACATACATACATACATACATACATACATACATACATACATACATACACACACAGAGATACAGAAACATATGTGTATGTATTTTATCTATCTGTCTGTATGCCTGCCTGTCTGAGATATGGTGGCTCATCCATCCATCCATCCATCCATCCATCCATCCATCCATCCATCAACTCCCTCCGTATCTATCTACCTATGTACCTATCTACCCAGCTATCTATTTACTCCTTCCTTATCTATCTACCTATCTACCTACCTGTCTACCTACGTACCTATCTACCTACGTGTCTGTCTGTCTATCTATTTATCAACTCTTTCCTTACCTATCTACCTATCTACCTATCTATCTACCTATCTATCTGTCTATCTATCTATCTATCTATCTATCAACTCCTTCCGTATCTATCTACCTATCTACCTACCTGTCTACTTACCTACCTATCTACCTACCTGTCTGTCTGTCTATCCATTTATCAACTCCTTCCTTATCTATCTCCCTATCTACCTACCTGTCTATCTACCTACCTACCTACCTCTATCTATCTATCTATCTATCTATCTATCTATCTATCTATCTATCTATCTATCTATCTATCTATCTATCTATCTGTCTGTCTGTCTGTCTATCCATCCATCCATCCATCCATCCATCCATCCATCTATCTATCTATCTATCTATCTATCTATCTATCTATCTATCTATCTATCTATCTATCTATCTATCTATCTATCCATCCATCCATCCATCCATCCATCCATCTATAGGGTGGGCAAGGATCAGGAAGGAGTACAAAAGACGGAAAGAACTGAGCAGGTTTAGCCTGGAGAAAAGAAGACGAAGGGGAGGAAGGAGAGCACTTTCGAAATACAGAGGAGGGGCAGGATCTGTTTTTGATCCTCCCAGAGTGCAGAACACATGATAATGGCATGAAGCCCGATTCAAGGACAATGTAAGGAAAAACTTCTTAACTGTTACAGCAGTACAACAATGGAATCGTATAACAATGTAACCACTCAAATGGACAATAATGGAAAATATCCTTACCCTAGTCTACCCACCAAGGAGAGCAGAAAAAGAGCTTAGGCCATTCCTGCTGGACAAAAGAATAATTTTGAAAGTGGCACAGAAGAAACTGATAATAGATTCTGAACTAAGTCCAGACTAAATTGCTAGACCTCAAAACAAGAGTGTCGGCCATGAAAGAAGAGAAATAAAATAACAATACAAGGAAGTGCAGTTTGGTAAAAAATATATATACACAAACAACACAAGATACATTTGAAATACATTGAATCTTAGTGGCAAAGAGTTTTCCAGGAAGGAAAACTTAAGTAACTTTCTCTTAGTTCCTTAGGACGGCTGTCCTCTGCTTTTCATCCTTGGGCCGCTTTTGGTCTCTTGTATGGAATAAGTTCGAAGGAACCGCTCGGCCTCCCCGGTCGATCTGTGGAATGAATTTCCTTTGCGTGGACAGTGCTCGGATCTAGCCATACAGCGCAGCTGCTCCAGAGGAGGCCCTACAAGATGTCCTGTCTAAGGAGTCAGAACTGTCTTGAGGACTAGCAGCTATTATGATCTTCTTGAGGGTCTCCCCAAAGCAGGTCAATCCTTTCCTGCCAGGGGCCTCCACAACTGGTTGCCAGCTATGTTTGGGGCAAGGGAGGAGCTTCTTAAAGATGTGGATGAAGCCCCTCGCTCATCACCAGCAGTTCTCGAACTCAGGACCTGAGCCGGGCACATCAATTTTGCCCTCGGCACTGAGGGCCGCTGCAAACAAGGCCTTGCTTTGCTGGAACAAAGAAAAAAAAGTGCCCTCTAAATAACAAAAATGCAGCCAAGGGGAGCATGGGTCCACAAGCTAGCTGGGGCACATGGGAGGTGGAGTCCAAAACAGTCTGGTGACGACAGCATTAGTTTGCCTCTCCCTGCAAGAAGGTCAGTGCCAACCCTCTTCCCGGTGCCTATTGACTCGGAAGTCAGTCTCAGGGTAGGTTCAACCGGTCGAGCTTTCGGGGCAAACGGGGCGGTGGTGGTGGTGGTGGCTGTCCAACAGGGCAGGCTGCCCCGCAAAAGGAATAAAAGAAAGCGCCCGACCAATCAGAAGCAAGGGGCGGGTCTTCAGCGAAGAGAACTTTTCAAGCGGCCTCCGCGATTGGCTGGCCGAGCCACGGGGGGCGTGTCCCGCTCCCTTTGAAGCGTTGAATGGAGGGAGGGGGCGTGGCAGGAAGTTGTCTGCTTGGCGGAACGGAGAGCGTCCAGGTAAGGCGGGCAGGGATGAGAAGGGGGGGACGAATTTCAGGGGCGGACCGCGTGCTAGCAGGTGCAGCGGAGCCCCACTTCCCCCGGGGAATTTTTCCCCCTCTCTCCCCGTTCCTAGAGTTCAGGGTGATGTCAGGACCCCCTTCTCTGCTACCCCCCCCTTCACAAGTGGAGATAAGGGAGCTTTTTTGGGGGGGTTGATTATGAGAAAGGCCCCCACCCTGCACCCCATTTTCTCCCCCCCAGGAGATTCACTCCCAGCAACCTCAATGCAGAGCAGGTGTGGGGGGGCTGAATGTGGGGGTCCCCCCCTTGTGCCCCACTCCCTTGGGGCAGAGCTGTTTTGCTTGACACGCGACCTCTTGACACGGGACCCCCTTTTCCCCCCTCCCAGGGTGGAATCCCTCAAGAGTTACACATCGACCACGAGCTTGACCCTTGTGTGCAACCGGATCGGGGCAAAATCCGGAGAAACGAGACAATCCAATACAGTACTACCCCCCCCCCCAAAATTAAAATATAAAAAGAGACAAGAACACGGGACACCTTAAAGGCTAACCATTCCTATTTTAATGCTGGTTTTTGTGGGCACGTCCACTTCATCAGACATTAATTTTTATTTATTTATTTATTTGGTTTTATACCCCGCCTATCTGGTCTACTTGACCACTCTAGGCGGCTTCCAGTATAGGATATAAAACAATAAAACACAAGAACATTATATAATCATTTGATACAGTTACAATAAAATAGAGTGAGAATAAAATAAAGAAGGAATAAGAGACAGCACACCTTCTTGTTCCAGCCTTCTTGGACATCCTCTGACAGCGTTGCTGGTTGGATTCCCCCATTTCTAAAATGTTCTAAAATTGTTCTACTGACCTTAAAGAGCTTTTAAGATCAGAGATGCAGGCCTTTTCTTTTCTTATTCATTGACTTCCTCTTCCCCCCCCCCCCGACTCCCAGAAGGCACCCTTCCCCTGTTCCTCTAAAATGAAAACTGGTGCTCTGTTTGGAAGAGGTTGCCCACGTTTGGTGCAGGCAATGCTGAGCTAGATGGGCTGAGGGTGTGACTTTTGGTATAAAACAGCTCCACACCTCTCTGTTTTGACCAACCCTTCAGATCCATCAGGAGTGGAGTCTTGCTTTATTTTTAGCCTCAGGGGTGGTGAGCCCCTCCCTTATATTGCAGAGGATCTCAGGATCATGGCCTGGCTGGCAAGCATCTGCATTTGAAGTTCTGATAGCTAGTCCATCTTCATAAAGCTGGGCTAGATGGACCGGAAAAATCTTGCCATCTCAGAGCAGCAGCTTCTGTTGCGTCTTCCTGCTGCCTCCAAGCCGGGGCTGTTGCAAGTGGCTGCCCCCTTCCTTCCTTCTCTCCCATGAGTCGTACAGAAGGCTTTATGTCTAAGAATGGTTCTTTAATTCTGGAAAGAAAGAAAAAAACTTAAGAAATCCTTCTTCTCTCCTTCCTACCACTTAACAAAGATTAGCCTTAAAAAATACATGGGGGTGCCCAGCTTTAAAAAGTTGGATGCCTACTCCCCTCCATAATTGGTGTGTTGCTGGGAGGACCGAAATAAAGGAGAGCCACAAGGAAGCGAAAACCGGCTTCTGTTTCATTGGTAAAGACTTCCCTGCTTAAAACTAGCCTCTTTCTGGTCTGAAAAGCCAAGGAATCATGCAAAGAAGTCACAGAACTGGCTCACAAAGCACTCATCCAGTTCTTCTGAGTTCTAAAAGTTGTACGGTGGAGGGTTGAGGGAAAGGTATAAGTGCTTGAGAGGAGGCAACAATAAAATGTAGTATTGTTGGGCTGCTGCAGGAGTTAATCTGTTGTCCTAGAAATTTAAGCAGATTTTCCCCAAATTCTATGCCATTGGAACCTGAAAAATTCTGAATTCTGCTTCATGTTTCAGTTTGTAGTGATTTGATAAACCTGTTACCCCACAAAGAATTTTGCGGTCACTAGCAGATGGCACAACTTATTTTTCTTTTTTTAAAAATCCTGCTCCAGGAGGCTAGTTTTGTGGTGATTTTCAGTGCAGGTCAATAATGTTTCAGGGGCCCCCAATCCGCCCGCACGCTTGAAGATTGCACTTTACGTAGATCCGGTCAGAGGCTCCTGAAGCCTCAAATTGCGCTGGGAGACTTTGGCTGCAGGGTTGCTGCTGGAGACAAGGGTTTAAATGCTCCAGATGCCCCTGGGAGAACGACTCCTATCGCTCCAGCCCCTCTGGCCTAACTGGCTGGGGCAGATGGGAGATGGAGTCCAACAGAGCTCCTAGTTTTGTATCCCTGCTTTTAAGCAGTAGTGGCTGAAATATTATTTGCCTAATGTAGCAAGGAGAGACCTGTGGAATGGGTGAGTTGACTCCTCTCTAAGTTCTGTTGATTCACATGGGCTTACTCTAGTGTGACCGATGCTAAGCAACAAGATTTATAGCATTATTGGGGGGCAGCATAATAATTCTGAATTCAGGCCATTTGTGGATAACTCTCACCATGCTTGCTTATGGAATGAGGACTAAGGTCAGCAGGAGGTCTGTCCACTCTCTATTCATCCATTTTCCCCCAAAAAAGGGTGCTTGCAGGAAAAGATGGGGTTTATATGTGTGTGTTTGTGTGTGTGTGTTTTGGTGGAATGGAATTTTGTGGCTTTATCCGTGAGATTTTTACAGGGGGGGTAGATTTCATCCACTTCTGTGTCTTTCTTTTAGGGTCCCCCCCTCCTTTTTTTTTTCTTGGCAGAAAAATAAATCTGGTGAAGCAGTAAAAAAAAAAACCAATGTTATACAATAACTGCATAATGTCTTTTGGTGGCCAGAACTAGGAGCCCTCCCTCTGGAGAACCTCCCATAGCTTCAGGAGGTGAAGAAGCACTGGATTTTTGACAAGACCAATGCGATTTAAAAGCGGAGAATCGGAAAGAGGAGGGGCAGGAGGATGCTGGAAAAGGAAGCAAAGTTAGGGCTAGCCACTCCTGCAGGGAAAGGATGCAGAGGTGGGCCTTGGTCTCTTAGCAATGGCAAGTGTCCGTCTTGCCCAAGAGAGCCTGAGATTGGTTGGGCAGGCGGCAGGAGGCGTGTCTGCCTCCCTGAAGTTATGAATGGGGGAAAGGAAGGGGGCGTGGCAGGAAGCTGGATGCAGCTGAGCAAGAACGGCAGGTGAGACAGGTGTGCGCCAAGGATGGGTAGCCTCCGATCATTGGCACCCATTGGCACCGCTGGGCAGACTCCCTGTTGTGCAGGGACTGTGTGTCCACAATGGGGTGCGTGGATTGTGTGTCTGGGATTCCACATTTGCGATTTGCCGTTGGCTGGATTTCAGTGGTGGAGCAAACTGGGCAAGATCTGAAACAAGCAAGGAAAAAACAACAACTCCCTTCTCGGGTTAAGGGGCAAAGGGCACAGAAGGGGGTGCATTATTTTTTTTGGCACACGAGGCCGAGAAATCCCAATAGTGCTTCGCTCCCCTTGTTCCTGGCAGTAAAATATGAAGAAACGGACAGCGGATCCAGAATCCTACTGGTTGGTAACCTGGTGTCAGTGCAGCGGCTTTAACCGCAGGGATTTTATTAACTTATTATCCACCACTGCACTTCTAATTTACCTGAGTTTATTGTTATGTTGTATGCCATCCACCCGGAGTAGACACATTCTAGATGGGCGGTATATAAATCTAATCAAAATATAAATAATTCACCGCTAGGATTCTGGCCCATGAGGATTTCTGCCATGACCACCCTGAATCGGCTCCTTGAAATGGTTGCCTCACTGTCTCCGGTGTCAACGAACTAGATGCCACGATCTGCCTGCAGAACATTGTGGGGACACAGCCTCTTTACTGAATGCCCCATTTAGCAGGGAGGTCATGTCACGCCCCTAGTTCTTTGGATTTTGGAAAGAGACCGCGGTCTAGTGACGGTCTGGACCTCGGAAGGAGGACCGGCATTCAATGAGGAAGCATCTGCTGTGTCAAATATTCTGAAAAACTTTTGGGTTTACCATCAAGGTGGGACCCAGGTGGTCGATAAGAAGTTTGATGGGACCTAAGATTTGAAAGCTTCAGAATTGCTGAAATTCATGACTTCCTTGCCCAGAAGTGTTTGTTGTCACATTAACCTTCCTTCCCCCCCGTCTCACTCTTTCCCCAGGTTGGCATGATGGTGGATTCCCAGTATGTTCTGCCCAATGATATTGGCATCGCGACGCTGGACTGCAACGAAGCCTTCCGGCTCTTATCCCCAGAAGAGAGGCTGTATGCCCACTATCTCTCCCGGGCCTGCTGGTACGGCGGGCTGGTGGTCCTGCTCCAGACCTCCCCAGAATCTCCAACCATCTATGTCCTCCTGTCGCGGCTCTTCCGAGCTCAGGATCCCGTTGAGCTCGGGGAGTTGGCCCGCTCCCTCGGTCTCTCAGAGGAAGAGTATCAGGTATCGGAACCGAGAAGGAGGTGGTGGGTCGGTGGTTGGAACTGGGGTGCTCCTTTGCGCTTCTCCTCTTGCCAAAGATGAGAATGGTTGGTGCTTTGGACTACATGTCCCATTGACCTTGGGATACTGGGAGAGGTAGTCCAAAAGAAAAAGTTGCCTGTTTTTCACTTTTACCAGATTTTGAGTGCTCTTGATTTGGAAGGCAGGACTGGATACCATTTGTGGACCTTTCAGAGGCCTGTATTTTGACTAAACATAAGAGAGACACGTGTAACTTATCCTTTGGCCCTTTGGGTGCTTTCATTTCAGTTCCTAGAGCCCGTAGCCAGCATGGCCAGTGGTTAGGGACTACGGCACTAACACAGAGGAAAGGCGAACGTTTCCTTACAGCCTTCTAGTGCTAAGAACTGTCCGAGGATGAAAACGTGGGTCTGGTGAGGATGGGGGTCCCCTTCAAAGGAGACACCATGGCTGGGAGCAGATAAAGAGGCTGCACACTGCATTTTTGAGCCTGCTCTGAGGAACCGATTAGACTGCAGCTCAAGGCCAGGCGATGTGTAAGCATACGGGATCGGATTTGGGGTTTTTGGCTGGATTCGAAGGTCACCCAGCCAGGTCCCAGGTTCAAAATATTGCAGGGTTGGGTATTTAGAGGCGCACTTCCAGACAGAAAGGAAGTTGATTCTGTGTATTCTCAAAGGCTTTCATGGCCCGGATCTGATGGTTGTTGTGGGGTTTTTCGGGCTCTTTGGCCGTGTTCTGATGGTTGTTCTTCCTGACGTTTCACCTGTCACGGTGGCCGGCCCCTTCAGAGGACAGGAGTCAGAACTCCCACAGACTGCCCCAGAGCACAGACAGAGTTCTGACTCCTGTCCTCTGAAGGGGACGGCCACCGAGACAAGCGAAACGTTAGGAAGAACAACCTTCAGAACATGGCCAAAGAGCCCGGAAAACCCACAACAACCAGAAGTTGATTCTATTTCTCAGCTCACGACCCGGTGTGTCCACTTGACATAGGAAGGCAAGCATCCGCAGTGGCGTTGTGCTGTTCTTGATTTATCATCTTGTCGGAAAGAGAGCCAACCCCTGCCTTCCGTTGGGTTCTTCCCAACAAGCCAGACCAAGAAACCAAAAAGCAAACCTTGGTTTATTTGTCATGTCATATAAATGTACCATATGTGTGTATGTGTGTGTTGCAACCATGATATGCACACGTTAACTAAGATTTGTTCTTCGTAGGCTTTGCTGGTTTACGCTGCCGCCCTCTATGCCAACATGGGCAATTATAAGTCCTTTGGTGACACCAAATTTGTCCCCAACCTTCCCCAGGTGAGCTTCGGAAGAAAGGCTATGGTTTGGGGGGGGAGTGGGAGGAGCCATTTCCCTTTTAACCAATGGGGAACGTTCCTTTTACCTCATTGGCTGAAAGTCTGAAGTGTGGGTGGAGCCTCTGCTGGGATTACAGCGACCCATTCATAAGCCGCCTAGAGTGGTCGTTCGACTAGATAGGCGTGGTATAAATGCAATAAATAAATAAATGAATAAATACATAAATAAATAAATAAATAAATCTTCCTTCCTTCTAGGAGAAGCTGAAAAAGCTGGTGTGGGCAAGCCAGGCATTCAAGGAGCACCCAGAACAGATGGAAGCGCTATGGGGCCGTTGTGGGAACCCCATGTTCTCCTTAGAGCCCAGGCAGAAGCATTTGGGGCTCAGTGACGAGGTATTTTGGCAGTCGTAACCCATTCCTGGGGTTCCTCCAGAACCTCGCACTCGGGCCAGGGCCGAAGAAAGGAAATGTTTCGAGACCAGGGCCGAATTCCCATTTTGGAAGGGATTTTATGGCGGGGTGTTGCTGGATTATAAAAGCCAGAAGGGACAGGGGTAGCAGGAATAATGGTTACCCATCCGGATCTGTTCCCACCCGCCATACAAACCACAGCTTAGTTCCAGGAACGTATGAATGTGAATTTATTTATTACGTCCGTGTGACCAGCTCATAAAACATATTTATGGTTGAAAATAGACAGAATGCAGTTTAAAAATGTACAGCCCATTCATAAAACATATTATGTGGCTAAAATATACAAAATGCAGTTTAAAAACGTGAAATCATTTCATAAAGCATATGATGTGGTTAAAATACACAAAATGCAATTTTAAAAGGTGTATATAATCATCACCTGTTGTCAAGTCCTTTCTGGCTTAGGGCAACCCTTTTTTCAGGGAGAGAGAGGGAGGGACTCCCTTTTTAAACCCCTTTGCCATTGTTTCGTGGGCTGCAAGCCAGACCTTCCCACGCAAAAGTCACAGCAAAAGACCTCACCGGCCAGACGGGGAGCCCCTCAACCAGAGGGTCCCTGTCGTTGGAGGAAAAGCCAAAGGCTCTGGTGGTATTGCTATATATGGGCCAGAAATCCAGCCCATCCGTCGGTCTGCTGGGGGGGCGTCCTATGAGACTTCTGTCTGTCTCTTTACCCTGCAGGGTATTTCCACGTACTTCTCTCTGGACTGCACCATGGAAGATGCGAAGCTAGCCCAGGATTTTCTGGATTCTCAGGTACCGCACAAACCTACCTGTTTGTTTTTTTAAGACGGGGAGGAGGGACGTGGCAGCTGAGATGAAAGGCACCGAAGGGGTTGTTGATCAGAGCGTTTAATAGCCTCTGCAGTTCAGACAAGGAGACCGGGAAATTTGCTTAGGTGTCTTTGGAAAATCGCCTTTTGAAACATCGTTTTGCGATCGTAAAAGCGATCGCAAAAACCCCATCGTAAAGCAGATTTGTCACAGAGCGGGGTAATCGTCAAGCGGGGCACCACTGTATAAGAATGTCTACGTCCATAATGCAGATCAATAATGTCTAGATGGCAGCCGGTTGCTCACCTCGGTCTGTCGAGACGAAACCAGAGGGTAGAAGGATCAGACTTGATAAGAGGCGTCTTTGCCCTAAGACCTTTCTTCAGACCCATGAGGACTGGGACCTTGTTTTTATGGGAAGGCCCTTAGCTCAGGGGCGGAGCACCTACTCTCTGTCCAGAATAGCTCAGGTGCCATCCTTCGCTTTCTCCAGGAAGAAGGATCAATGGGTGGGAAGGACCTTTTCCCAACCAGAGACCCTTGGAGAGCTGTCGTCCGTCAGAGCAAACTATCCTGGCGGTCTTCACTCTCTGGAAGGCCTGGGGTTCTCATCCTGGACCGCCTTTCAAGCTGACTCTTTTCTTAAATCTTTTTTGCAGAACATCAGCGCTTATAACACGAGGCTTTTCAAGACCCAGGTGGACGGGAAGGTCACCTACGAGGTTCGCCTGGCGTCCGTGGTTTCAGACGGTAAGAGCCCTTTCCCGGCTGTGGTAAGATTCCCTCGTCCACAACCATGCAGTTTCTCGATAACACCTCAGCGCTTCTTCCTCAGTGCATAAAAGAACAACAGACGCTCAGGGCTGCACCAAAGGAAAAAAAATTGTATCAGGGCCTAATTTAAAAGGTGGAGGGCCACATGTTCCCTTTTATCACAGACACACATCTGCTTCTCTTCTGCCCAGATGCCCAGCTGGACGATGACATGACCGCCAAGATGAAATGCTTCCAGTTTGGGGGCTGCGTGTTTAACGTGACCTTTGGCGATTATGCCCCGCTGCTGCAGAAGGTTGTGGAGAACCTCCAGAAAGCCCAGGTGAGGGTGGGGGTCGTGGGGAGCATCCGTAGCTGCCCCAAAACGGCCTCCTTTCCCCACTCCCCAGACCACGTCCAAGGCACCCAAACTAAGATTCAGGTCCAGAGTGTTGCATTGACCCCTCTTGTCTTGGTCGATGAAGAAGCGCCTGCCTCTCTCTCTCTTGGTCCACCTACAGGGGTTTCAGATCCGCTACCCAGGAAAGCAGATTTATGCTTTGATCCCTTTCCCCCTACACTTGCTAAGTCCCACTTATTTTTCTTAATTTTGGATTAGAAAAGTCGGGGGGGGGAGTCTTATGCGTAGGAAAATACGGTAATTCATTCATAAGTCAGAGACGTCGTCACGGCACATAACAACTTAGGTTTGTCTCCTATTCAGGCTTCGTGTAGCTCTCTCGTCTTGATTCTCAATACTTGTGTTTGTTTGCATTACTGATCTGAGTCCTTTTCATCTTTCCCTCGTCAGCCTCATGCCGCCAACGCCACCCAGGCAGAAATGCTGACCCACTACGTCACCAGTTTCACGCAGGGCTCCATCGCCGCCCACAAGGAGGGCTCCCGTTGCTGGATTCGGGATAAAGGGCCCATTGTGGAGAGGTAGGCTTCAGGCAGCTTCCTTCCTTAGTCTACATCGCTCCGTTTAACGACGAAACCGCATTACGACGAACTTTTTGTGAACGCTTTTGCGATCGCTTTACAATGTTTCCTATGGGGGAATTTCGCTTTGCGATGATCGGTTCCCTGCTTCGGGAACCGATTCTTCACAAAACGATGATTTTCGGCCAGCTGATCGGCGGTTTCAAAATGGGTGCCGGGTAAACAAAATGGCCCCCGCTGTTTTCTGGGACGGATTCCTCGCTGCACAGGCAGTGAAAATGGCCGTCGTATGGAGGATCTTCACTGGACGGTGAGTTTCTAGCCCATCGGAATGCATTAAACGGGTTTTAATGCGTTTCTATGGGCTTTTTAATTTCGCTTTACGACGTTTTCGTTCTACAGCGATTTTGCTGGAACGAATTAACGTCGTAATGCAAGGCACCACTGTAGTCAGGGAGAGGTCAAGGGCTTCCCCCATCATTTTCCACCCTAGGGTCCCAGAAGAATGTACCCAGTTTTTTTAAACTGAAAAAGCAAAAAGTGGAGAGAGAAAAAAGTGGAAGTGACCAGAATGTATTTCCAGGGTTTTTAAATTAACCTTTAATTTTTATTTATTTATTTTAATACAGCAAAAACTTGCTTGCCTGAGAACATGACTGGACATTTTAAAAGGTTTTTTTTTGGGCGGGGGGAGTGTCTGGAGGTCTGGTCAAGATGGGCATGGAGTGGGGCAAGAATTCCCACTGCACACGACATGTGAATGAATGAATGAGTTAACACACTCCCTAGGACTGGCGTTGCTGGAGGCGGGGGGGGGACTAGGGGGAGGAAATCGGCATCATAAAGGCTTGGCGGCTTCTCTTAAAGGCTGGGAGAGTGTGGCTGGAGAACATGTTATTATTATTATTTTTAAATTTTCAAGCATATTTTAAACTCTGCTCTTTGCCTCGGAAAGGACTCGTGGGAGAGCTTTAGAAAAAAAAAAGCTGGTGATTCGGTGGCCCTTTCGGCTTTCAGCTCAAAAGGCGTGAGACACAAGGAGAGCAGGGAGGGAGAGGAGGAGGGAAAAAAAGCAGCCTCTTGGTGGCTGTTGGTTCATTGCCCCAATCGATGGGGAATGTGCTTACTCTGGACTTGGGGATGCTCAGACTTTTATTGTTCCGGTTCTCCTTTCTGGGCTGTCCTCTTGCTTTCCCCTCCTCCTCCCTTCTCCTTCGGGGAAGGAGATGCCACCAAATGAGACCCCAGCGGGGTAAAAAATCTAATGAATGAATGAATGTGTGTCCGGCTGCTTCTCCCGCCCTTTCAGAGCCCAGCCAAGTTAAATAAGTTTTGTTTTACATTTTATTTTGTTTGTTTTTTTCTATTCTCAGTTACATCGGCTTCATCGAGAGCTACCGAGACCCCTACGGTTCCCGGGGAGAGTTCGAAGGTACCGCTTCGCCTCGACCGGGAAGGAGCTGGGGGGCTGATCCCCCCCTTGCCCTTAGTGGGAAAAGAGGGAGAGGGGGGCCTAAGGGGGAAGGGAGAGACCTCAGAGCTGGGGAAGGCTGCTCACTTTCCTGACCCAAGACACCGGGGTCTGCCGTTCCAGGGTTTGTGGCTGTCGTCAACAAGGCCATGAGTGCGAACTTCGCCCGCCTGGTGGCGGCGGCCGAGCGCCTGCTGGAGGAGCTGCCGTGGCCTCGCGCCTTCGAGAAGGACACTTTCCTGAAGCCTGACTTCACCTCCCTCGATGTTCTGACTTTTGCCGGCAGTGGGATTCCGGCCGGCATCAACATCCCCAACTGTAAGGCCTCAAAACGCGGTGGCAAAGCCAAAGGGCCCCTTCCCAAACCGGCCCGTCCTGTGCCTCCCACCTGTCGCTTTGGGCTTGGCGTGGGTGGTGAGGATGGCAAGAGATATCGCTGGCACCGGGGAGTGGGTATAAGCCCTCCAGAATTTATGTCCCCCTTCCAGCTGTAGTGGAGATCTTATTTTCTTTATCAGTACAGTGGTGCCTCGCTAGACGATGACAATCCATTCCACTGAAATCGCTGTTTAGTGAAATCATTGTCTAGCAAAAAGCGTTTCCCCATTGGAATGCATTGAAACCTGTTTAATATGTTCCAATGAGGAAGAATCGTCGTTGTCTAGCGAAGATTGGCCATAGGAAAGCCGCTTTGCGAACTTCAGCTGTTTAAATAGCTGTCTTGCGAAGCTTAGGTCCCGAAAACACCCGTTTTGCGAGCATGGAGGGAGCTGTCAAAACCGTTGTCTAGCGAAAATCGGTTTGCGAAGCAGGGACCAAACATTGTCCAGCGAAATTCCCCCATAGGAATCGCTGTTTTGTGAATTGCTATAGTGATTGCAAAAAGTCAATGTCTAGCGAAAAAATTGTCATGCGGGGTAACTGTCTAGCGAGGCACCACTATATAGGAATTGGCTGCTACTCTTACAGGCTGCTTGCAAACTTTTCCAGCCCATTTGCGCTCCCGTTGCGCATATTTTTGAATGCCTCGATCTTCCCTTTGTCCCCCTTTTGCCAAACGCTTTGTCTAAAACACGGCATGGCTGGATCGCGACATGAGTTGGGTTTCCGGCTGGGGAGAACCAGGTTGGCGGTTCAATCCCCCACGGGGGCTTCTGGGAGAGAAGAGCCGGCTTGGCTGGCCTCGGGGCCAGCTGGGCCTCAGTCCCAGGATGCCTCTGGTGGAAGGGGTCACCCACTGCTGAAAAAGGGTCACTGTAAGTCAGAAATGACTTGACAGCACGCCGTGGTTGATAATTACGCTTGGAGAAGGGAAGGCTTCTGACGGCCAAGGGTGGTTGGGTCGCCTCTTGGTGCAGATGCAAATCAGATCAGTTCTGATTAAAAAAAGAAAAAGATTTCAATCGTCCTAATATGGACCAGGACTGTCGACTAGAGAAAAGCAAAGTCAGAAGTGCCAGCCTTCCAGCCTCCTAAGTAGGTACCGTATTTTTCCCTGTATAAGACTATACTTTTGTCTAAAATCTTTAGGCTAAAAAATTGAGGGTCGTCTTATACACGGAAGTAAGCTGAGGAGAGAACAAAAACAAGTAGAAGGGAAAGCAGGGATCAAAGCGATCCTGCAGCGCTTTGATCCCTTTCCCCCTGCACTTGCTAAGAAGCCCCACTTAGATTTCTTAATTTTGGATTAGAAAGTGGGGGGTGGGGTGTCTTATACATGGAGGCGTCTTATACATGGAAAAATACGGTAGTTATGGCTTTCGTGGGATGCAAGAAAGAAGGGGTGGAGTGGGGAGGAAGAAAACCACCCTCCAGTTCTTTGGAGTATCAGCCAGAATGGGAATCAGTTCGGGTCCCATCCGTGGCTGAGGTTTCCAGGATCCAGGGCACCACTCTGGCCCATCGGAATCAAGGGAAACCTCCACCTGCCCTTGGAACCGCCTCCTGATGTGCTCACCTACGGGCCAAACTGCGTTCTGGCTTCAAATACCTGGTTTGCCTTGAAGGCTTGGGGTGGGGGGGAATTCTGTGCTGTTCCTGGATTCTGCTTAGAGAGGGTGATCAGGGGCGAAGCGTGGAGTTCCCGTGGCTTTTTTAGCCCAGTCTTCCTCAACTTGGTGCCCTCCACCTCTCGAGAAGTCCATCTCCCATCAGGCTTGCCCTACGGGTGATCCTAGCTGGGGATAATGGGAATGATCATGCAATCCATCCCAAGAACACCCAATTTTCTTCCTGTCCCTTCCAGATCATTTCTGTTAGATCTGGATGACTTTTCTCTCTCTCTTTTTTTCCCCCAGACGACGACATCCGCCAGACAGATGGCTTCAAGAACGTTTCGCTGGGGAACGTCCTGGCGGTGGCCTATTCCACGCAGAAAGAAAAGCTGACCTTCCTTGCTGAGGAGGACAAGGTACAGGCTCTTGTCTGTTGTGGGCTTTGACTTGCAGTGAGCCATGCATATTTTGGGACTTCTTGTTCATAGTCCCAGATGTTAAAAAATGTAAGTTACGGAACCAGCAGGGAAACAAATCATTTAAGAAGTGTGGGATTTCGCTTTCTCCAGTTACATGAAAAAAGGGTGTTTCTTCCTGCAATATATATATTTTAAGAGTGAGGCTGAAGGACTCTTTCCATTTTAACACAAAATACAGTGGTGCCCCGCATAGCGACGTTAATCCATTCCAGGAAAAACGTCACTATCCGGAAACGCTGCTATGCGGGGAGGGGGGGGAACCCCATAGGAACGTTGCTATGCGGAGGTAGGTCTAAGCTCTTTGGAGAAAAGAAGTCTGAACTTGCACAAAAGGAGACTTTTTTTGGAATCCGGTCTTGGGTACAGAAGGATTTCTTGTCAGAGAAGGAACCGAATGTCATTGGGGGGGGGTCACTGTTGCAGGATCCCTACATCAAGTGGAAAGGACCCTCTTTCGAGGTGCAGGTTGGTCTCCACGAACTTTTGGGCCACGGCAGTGGGAAGCTCTTCGTGCAGGTGAGTGGAACAGCTTCGGATTTTGTCCCTTTACGTATTTTGATTAAGGGGAAAGAACATGTCACAACTGAAGAATCTACCTCGGAGTGCGGCTTAAAGATTGCACCATTTACAAAATGTGTGTATTTTTCCCTTGTTTACCATCTCGTTTGGGGTCATGAAGAGTTGGACACAACTTAACGACTAAACAACAACAACAACAACCATCTCGTTTAATTCAGGACTTGAAATGGGATTCTGGCGCTGCAGGATTGGCGTTCCCATCCGACCCCGTGGGCCGCCCCTGAAAGCCACAAACTCTCCTCCATGACACAAATTATGGGTGGTTTTCCAGCTTTTGTATTGGCTTCCCCCACCCCCGTTGTAAAAGCCTGCGATCCTTAAGGCTTAATTACTTTCCGCTAAAAGGTGGCATTTTCAGCCCCATCGTTTTGCCTTTAGCCCAACCTGCTTCCCTCCTGGGAAATTTTGTAAAACTGGACTGGTCCTCGAACTCAAAGAGGTTCCATATCCTCTTTTAGCGCAAAGTCATATAGGTTTAAATTGAGCTATAAATAGGCATCTGTGTCTGTCTAGAAATTGAGTGGCTGAGCATGTTCAGAGCATACCATGTATGGCGATTCAGTCTGTTCTAGCAGCCCAGTTTAGGTAGGATGCGTCTGGTTTGGTTTTAATGTAGGGACGGTTTTAAGATTTGAATATTTATAAATCATTTTGTATACAATCCACCCTGGGATCATGATATAGGGAGGGCTATAACCATTTTTCTCCTGCCAACCTAGCTGTTCGAAAGCATGTAAAAATGCGAGTAGATAAATAGGTACCACCTCGGTGGGAAGGTCACGGCGTTCCATGTCTAGTTGCACTGGCAGGAACCTTTACCTTTTTACTCTTATTAGATTGTCTAAAAAGAAAATTCTCAAAATTTCTTCTGAGAATCTTTGATGATGATGGCCTAAGAAACCTTGGCTAATATTGACTTCATTGAGATGTGTTTTTAACTCATGTAGGTATTTTACTCCTGCCAACCTAGCAGTTCAAAAGCATTTAAATGTGAGTAGATAAATAGGTACCCCCTCGGTGCTGGCTGGGGGAAATATGGGGAGCCGTCTTCCAAAATAGTAACTTTTCCAAGCTTTGACCCATCCTCAGCCCTGGGAGGAGGTTTTTAAAAAAGGAGAGGCTTGAGCTTTGTGTCCGTGGCCACATATACGTAGGTGTGCATGTGCTGCACTTTCGTGAACTATTTAGTAAGTGTGCCTTGAAAGTCAAGGCAGAAATCTCTTGACTCAATTAGCCACCTCCCCCCAGAGAGGACGAGGCTGCCTTTAAAACAATGCCATTGTGTGACATTTTCAAGAACAATGAATGCTTAACAGCATGCACTTTTGTTGACTGTGGACTGTAACTGACGAAAACCCATTCGAAAGTAAATGTTAGGTACCAGACTCTCTCCGCCCTACACCGTGAGAACAGTTCAGTACCACTGTTAATTGCAGTTGCTTTCAATATCCTTTCTGTTTCTTTCTCTTCCTCGGCAGGATGATTCCGGTGCCTTCAACTTTGACCAGGAGGCAGTGATCAACCCGGAGACGGGAGAACTAGTGAGGATTTGGGAAGGGAGGTTTAAAAACCTTGGGGCTGAATAAGTTTGTTCCTTTGTCGGCTGTACCTCTTTTTCTCTCTTGGCACTACCATAGTACTAGAACAGATTATTTGTCCGTGCTGCTGAAGTTGTACAATTCAAGCAGAGACTCGGTTTCTCAGTGCAAAACTCGATATAGTCCTGGAGATCTTGGCAAATAAAGGCTTTTATTCTATAAGCGGTCGCTGTCCTTCACAGAATTTTGGAGCCTTGCCAGACGTTTACATCTTTCACCTATATCTTTTTCATGGTTTCCCCCCACTTTTTCTGGCTATTCTCTTACTTTCCAAAATAAGAAGAAATTCATTAAGAAGGAAAAGCCCAAATCACTTTGTTTTTTGGGGGGGATTTGAGGCTGGAATTGGTTAGTGTTATTGCTGCTACTGGAATGCAGTCCAGCTAGAAGCATGCCAGACATTGCAATTTGTTTTTAATCTTTTTTTAAAAAAAGAGACAAAGCTTTTCATAGATTATGACTTGAGTGGATCAGTTTCAACACATGGAACTTCAGACCATAATCAGCCGGTCTCATATAGCTTTGCAGGATCCTTCTCATTTGCAGAAAAAGAAAAAGGGAAACGACGTCTCTACTTAGAACAGCTAAATTTATTTCACAATACAGTACGTAGAAGCGTAAAAATCATTTCACCGTCTCTCATATTAATTATAGACCAAGTACAAAAATGTGGGGCCCTTAGTTAACCGTCACATAGGCTGCAGTATAGAAATAAAGAGTTGAGATAGTTTTTATGACTTTGCTGTGTAACAAATAATTTGAGACTAAAAGATGTGAGGTTTGGATGATTGAGGTGGAATCTATGCTTTCAAAACGTAGAGGTGAAGAAGAATATTTTAACATCCCATGGACTGATAAAGAATAAAGGGGGCCTTATTTGGATAGGATAACAAAAAGATATAGGAGTTAATGATTAAGTTCAAGTTTATTGTATTAGCTAAAAGCTGTCACAGTTGTTTAAAATACAAATATTATCAAATAAAATCATGATAAAAATCACAGACATATAAAATAATAAGAGGCCCGAGTTAATGATTAAGAAACGCAAGATCTTATATTTTGGACACATAATTCACTATGACAAACATAATGTTCCACCATGCATCTTTAAAGGGAAGATTGAAGGGTTCACACGGAAGAGGCAGACGGGGGATTTATCGGATGATTAACATCAGAGATCGGCTGGGCCTTAATAAAGTAGAACTAATCCACACAGGGAGAGATTAGTAGAGATGTTGTGATGATGACCCAATGCAGTAAAAGAGATGACACTGAGAGAGGTTTGCTATGGGTTACGTTCGACCCACAGCCAACCTGTCTCAGAGTAATATGTCAATTAGGAAGAAAAATATATTATCCCTCTGACTTTTTTTCCTGTCCCCACAGATTCGGAGTTGGTACCGAGGGGGGGAGACGTGGGACAGCAAATTTTCAAGCGTCGCGTCAAGTTATGAGGAATGTCGGGCCGAGTGTGTGGGGCTTTATCTGTGCCTGAACAAAGAGGTTTTAAGGTGAGTATCGGAGGGCGAGAAGACACCTTGCGGTTACTACATCGTCAGAAGCCGAGCTGCCTTAAGGGATAAGAGGCATTGATTTATCCTCGTAGTAATATGTAGCTTTCCTCGGCTTCTCCTCTGGCCAGTTAGCTGGCTTTGGTTCCCGACGGGTCGTTGAGAGGTACACGCGAGCTTCAGGGACAAGGCGGATTGCTCAGGCAAGGAACTTTAAAAGAATTTTCCATATTAGAGAGAAAATAGGGCGTGGGAAGAAATAGGTTTTAACAGGTAATGTTGATGAAAAAAGACCTTGTGGGTTTGTTTGTTTGTTTTTGCATTCCTCTAAATCCCTCTTCCACTCTCATTTTGCTCACTCCCAACAAGTTTCTGGTGTGGCGAAATATATATCACGTTTAAACGTTCAAAGCCCTTGAAATTATTTTTCATCCGTAGCAAAATATACAAGTGTAAGGAATGCGAGATTGGAATTTATTTCAGGTATTGCAGTAAGATATGTGGATACCTTGTGTATCCAAATATCTTACTATCCAAGTATCTTACTATCGACTGGGACCCAGGAGCCCTGGGTTCGAATTCCCACCCAGGTGTGGATGCACACTGGGGGTTTGTAACTGCTGAAAACACTCCTTAAATATCAAGCCCTATTAGGGTCTCTATAAGTGTCAGCCTATAAATTTATAATAGATTTCAGAATTGGGGCGCATGATATAAATGAAGATATAAACATACTGATGAGCATATATATATGTGTGTGTTTATATCTATACACACACACACGCACACACATAAGCATTTATATTCACGATGGTGGCAGGTTACACTGTACATTTGTGTTGTGATTATATTTATTTATGTTTTTGTTAGAGAGAGAGAGATATTTCAGAATAACAGCCAAGTCATCTTGGCTGATGGGAGAGAAAATCCTATAAGGACATCAGCTCAAATCTATTTGATTGATTGATTGATTGATTGATTGATTGATTGATTGATTGATTGATTGATTGATTTGATTTGATTTGCTTTGCTTTGATTTGATTTGCTTTGATTTGATTTGTGTCCCGCCCATCTGGTCTATGCGACCACTCTGAGCGGCTTCCAATATAATACAAACAATTAATAAAATCACATAGTTACATAAATCTACAAATTAAAATGTGGAAACCAAGAAAATAGAGTAAAAATGAATTAAAGAGAAATGAGAAGAGAGAATCAAGTATTAGCTGGAGGGAAGGCCTGAATAAACATCCATGTTTTTAACTTGGCTTTTAAAGATACCCAGTGTAGGGGCCAATCTAGCAACACAAGTCCTATAATAAGAAAGTTAACAGTCGAACACTCGCCGCCTGTTTATGACAACCCAAATCTGTCCTCTCGGGTGGCCACCGAACCACCTGCCTAATGGTGGGGCCGGCTCGGACTCTTCCTCTGCAGCTTTTGGAGTCAGTTTACCCTTTCCCAGACTCTGCTTTTGCCATCAGTCAAGTAAACAAGTAAAAGTCTGTAATTCCTGGGTTGACATGTTTCTTTTGGGTGGGAAAAAAAAAGACACAAAAACCTGTTCAAAGGTACAAAGAGCTCTACCCGCTTGGAAAGAGTCTTCAATAAAACTTGTTGAGTTGGGTAAGAAGAGCATCCTCCCCATTCTGTGGGTGGAAAAAGTGCAACCCGAAAGGGAGGCAGATCAGCTCCCCCAAAGCTCGTAGTAAGTAGCGTATCTGCTCTGATTCCTCCCATCTTTTTCACTGAATTTTATGTGCCATCAAGTCCATAATAGTGACTTTAGTTAGGTTTTCAAGGTAAGTGAGATCTTCAAGAAGTTTTCCATCACCATCTCTCCCCCCGGGTGAGTTTCCACGGCCAGGCACGGATTTGAACCCGGTTCTCTTTGAGTCCTAGTCTGTCATCCGATCCACGACATCACCCCTGGCTTTCCTCCTTTCACTTCGTTAATCCTGCTTCATCCTTCCCTTCCTGCCAGCATCTTCGGATTGGAGGGCGAAGATGCCGAGGACGTGATTTACATCAACTGGCTGAACATGGTGCGGGCTGGCCTGCTGGCGCTCGAATTCTACACACCGGAATCTGGAACGTGGCGCCAGGTAGGATTGTAAATGGTGGAACGGGGCCCCGATGCTTCGGGAGTGGAGGGGGGCTCCTTAAAAGAACGGAGAAGGTCGTTCCTGTCGCTTGTCTAAACCTTAGCGCTGTGGCCTTTTAACAGTACAGTGGTGCCTCGCCAAACGATGATAATCCGTTCCAGAAAAATCATTGTTAAGCGAAAACATCATAAAGCGAAAATAAAAAAGCCCATTGAAACGCATTGAAAACCATTCAGTATGTTCCAATGGGCTAAAAACTCACCGTCCAGCGAAGATCCTTCATACCGTGGCCATTTTCAGTGCCTGTATAGCGAGGAATCCGTCCCTAAGCACAGTGGGGAGCCAGTTTAAGCACCTGGCGGCCATTTTGAAAACCCGGTGATCAGCTGTTTTTGATCCATCGTAAAGCAAAAATCGGTTCCCGAAGCAGGGAACTGATCATCGCTAAGCGAAATTCCCCCATTTAGACCATCGTTTTGCGATTGCAATTGCGATCGCAAAAACATCGTTGTAAAGCGGATTTGTCGTAATGTGGGATAATCGTTAAGCGGGGCACGACTGTACAGTTAGTAACTCTTTTGAATATCTTATGTTTTTCAACTTTTTTATATCTTATTTTATATTTTATCCAAGTGTGATCCCTTGGGGGAACATGGGTCTGAGTGTCTAAAGAAGAACAGGGTTATGTTGGCTATTTTTAGTTTTTTGGGTGTCTTACCTGGTCAGGCTGGTGTGCAAGCCTTAAAATACACAGCCAACAGTATTTTATCCCAAAATAAGTGAATCAGTGGAAACCTAGGGTTCGAAGCTTACCCAGGCACACACTTCCTAGGTTTTACCTGGCCTAGGGTTCAAACGATGGTGGAATTTGAGGACTAAAGTTGGCGCCAGAATGAATCCCCCAGTTCACCCTATGAGGAAGGAGTTGGGCATTGATTTTCATTAATCCAGCAATGGGCCACTGGGTGCCCTTTGGACGACTACAACTGAGAGAGAGAGTTTAGCCTAGTGGTTTAAGAGGATTAGATTGTAACTCTGAGAAAACCTAGGATTTACTTCCTACTGCGTCGTGAAACTCGCTGGGCGATCTCGGGCCAGTCATCTCTTAGCCGGACCTACCTCGCAGGGTTCCAGTTGTGCCAAGAAAATGAGGGAGCGGGCAGTTCCAATGTCGGCCACTTTGAGCTCTTTGGAGGAAAGGCCGTTCGGAAAGAGAGCTAATAAATAAATTCCCCCGATCTTGATTGTCCTTCTCAGTCTCTCTAGAAAACAGGCGATGACCCTCTGGCCCTCCTGATATTGTGGAATCACAATCACGTTGAGCCTTTGGCCCTATAGGGAAGACCAGATGGGTGCTGAAGGCCAAGAGGCATGGCGGATACTGGGTTCAAAAAGCATTGCATTGGGACCCTGTGCAAAGTGGCCGTTGCAGATTAAATGGAAGTGTTGCATCGGATCCCGCAGGAGGGCCTCCGTTCGTTTGAGGGCAAGGTTTCTAGGACTCTGCTTCGGGCCCCTTTCCTCGCCCTAATTTCATATTTTCCTCCCTTTTCTTCCAGGCCCACATGCAAGCCCGCTTCGTCATCCTAAGGGTGCTCCTGGAGGCCGGCCAAGGACTCGTGTCCTTGCGTCGCACGACCGGGGCCGACGGCAAGCCCGACGCGGTGATCACCTTAGACCGCAGCAAGATTTGCACCGTCGGGAAGCCCGCCCTGGAGCGTTTCCTCTGTAAACTGCAGGTGAGGAGCAGTGCAATCGGGGAGAGAGAAAGATCGGGTCTCCGTCGTCTTTTTTCTCCGGAGAGAAACTATGCCCCCTGTGTGAAGGGGGGGTTCTAGGTGTCGCAGTCCGAGAACGTCCGGGTCACCCAAGGTTGGGAACCCACCAGTGTAAATCAACAAAGAAGGGGTTATTGGGTGAGAGCTGCAGCTCGGCCCCCAACTCAGGAGGGCTTCGTCTCTATCAAAGGTCCTGAAATCCACAGCCGATGTGGTGGGCGGGCGCGCGCTCTACGAGGCCTACTCCGCCGTGACGGATGAAGAACCTGAACGGTTTCTCACTCTGCGGCACACAGTCCTGCTGCGGAAGGAAGCCCGGAAGCTCTTTGTGCAAGCCAATACCCGGCTGGAAGGTAAGGATTCTGGGATGACTTATTTCCCATCTGCTGTTTTCCCGACTGAGCCACTAGGAAAACATTCCTTTTTTAGCATGGTAGACTAAAAGCTTAAAGTGATGCCTCGCTAGACAGTTACCCCACATGACAGTTTTTTTGGCTAGACATTGGCTTTTTGCGATCGCTATAGCGATTCGCTAAACAGTGATTTCTATGGGGGAGTTTCGCTGGACAATGTTTGGTCCCTGCTTCGCAAACCATTGTCGATAGACGATGATTTTGACAGCTCCCTCCGCGCTCGCAAAACGGGGGTTTTCGGGACCTAAGCTTCGCAAGACAGCGATTTAAACAGCTGATTGGCAGTTCGCAAAGCGGCTTTCCTATGGCCGATCTTCGCTAGACGACGACGATTCTTCCCCATTGGAACACATTAAACAGGTTTCAATGCATTCCAATGGGGAAATGCTTCTCGCTAGACGATGATTTCACTAAACAGCAATTTCAGTGGAACGGATTATCATTGTCTAGCGAGGCACCACTGTGTATTTTAAAATACCAGATTTTTTTGTGGGGGGAGGGGTTTGGTCAGACGTTTTGTTTTAAATTTAAATGGTCAGGTCCTGCTTTAAAAATGATGCAAGAGGATATTTGAATTTGGCACACTTATGCAGAGACTTTTTCTTAGAAATCTGCCAGGAGGTGTATTAAAATGCAAGCAGGGCAATCAATGCAGACATACCTTAAGGCAGCAGTTCCCAATCTTTTTCGATCATGACCCCTTTTCAGTCATGACCCCATCCAGCAACCTCTCCCGCCAAAGCACTGTTTATCTGGTCACCTGGAGAGCAATTGTTGGCCAGTGAGTCTTGGCCGTTGGTCCTCCAGCTGTTTTGAACTTAAACTTCTCAGTCCTTCAACATTGGCCATGCCGGTTGTGTCTTCTGAGTGCTGAAGTCCAAAGCATCTGAAGGACCAAAGTCTTAAGAACTGCTGGCTGAAGGTTGCAATAAATGATGGTTGACCATCACTTATTGCAACCTTGGAGGGCGTGAAGGCCATTTTCCCACCTCCTGGACCGACCACAAGCTGCTTCAGCACCTGTTGTGGCAACCGTAGGTAGCCAGAAATCAACTTTTCTTTTTTTTAAGAAGCTTTTGACCCAAAACACAAAGCATGTGAGGATTCCTTCGTTGTAAAGGAAAATCATGCTTTTTGCCTCTGTGAAGATTCTCAGTCCTTCGGGCGAGGTGATCTGGAAGTTCAATCACGACCATGGGACTTATTTCTTGTTAGGTCGAAAGGTTTCGCTTCTCATGCAAGTAGTTTTTTTTCAGTCTGAGGAAAGCTGTTGGCATGCTGAGACAGATTAACATAGAATCATAGAATAATTGAGTTGGAAAGGGGCCTGTAAGGCCAACCGGGTCCAATCCCCTGCTCAATGTAGACATCAAAATTAAAGTTGATGCGACAGATGGTGGTCCAATTTTGAAGGGCTCCAAGCGTTGGGAGCGTTCACGGCCTCCGGGGGTGATGGTTTCCGTTGTACCGCTCTAACAGTTAAGAAGTTGGATTGCTTCTTTGGGAACCCACACTGAGTTTATGTCTTTAATCCTTGCATTCATGAATATTGTGGTTCTGCCAACTCAGTGTTGTTCTTCCTGATAGATTAGGGGGAGGAAGATTGGGGGAATGGATTTTATGAGTTATCCAGAGGAAGAGAGATAAACTTGGAGTTCTTAGGGGGCCTATAGATGCTGGCTAAACAAAGCTACATGTCTACCGGTTGCCAGTTTCCGGTACAGACCGCTAAACTCCGTGCGAAGACGAGAATGGGAAAAGGCGCCGTGCGGCTGAAAAGGCTAACGTGGCCTCCTCTCTCTGCCTCCAGGCAAGGATGTCGTCCTCGTGCAGTACGAAAGCAGCGCCGCAGGCCTGATCCGATCATTCCGTGACCGCTTCCCCGAAGATGCTGAAGTCCTGGAGCAGCAGCTGCTGCAGCTGGCACAGGCCGATGCCCACTTCTGGAAGAGCTGAGAGCGGGACTTACCTAAGGCCTTTCCCATGTGAACCCCCCCCCCCCAGTGGGCCAGACGACGGAGCACCGCCGGTCCTTCCTGCACCCACGTTCCTCCCTCTGCCAGAAAGACTGGGCAACAGAAGTACATGGCTTAGCCCACCTGCCCAAATCATGATCCACTGCTGCCCTAAAACACCGTTGGGGTGGCGAGGTGTGGGGTGGAGCCCTGCCCTCTTGTTACACTAAGGAACTCAATAAACCTAACTTTTATAACGTGCCTCGGCTTCTATTTCCTCCTCTGCCCTATAGCTTAGCCGTGGGGAAAGTGGGCGTCTGCAGAAGAAACACTTGACCCCTTTCAGAGTAGATCGTTCTGCGTCCTCGGATCCGCTCTGTGGCATTCAATCGGCATCGGCAGCTTTTTTGACAGTCCGGTGGCAACTGGACGGCCTTTTCTGAAGCGATCTAAGGAGGGGATGTCCATTGCAGGGGGTGCCACAGTCCAGGGAGCAGAACATCCCATTGACTTGAATGTATAGAATCCTAAATTTGTGTGTATGGTCCCCTATGGCAGAGGTAGGAGTGTTTAATGATCTCAGCAACTCCCAGGTTGAACCAAATTGCAGACCCCCAGCAACGGGAGGCCACAGCAAATGGTCGAACGAGATTAATCTCTTGGCCCGTAATTTGAGCCCCCTTGTGGAACCAGAGACCCTCTGTCGTTCCCCAAAGGCTGGCTTCTTCAGACAGATGTTATCGAGCAAGACCCTTTCCTCCTTCTTGTCTTGATTTATCTGTGGGTCCTGCACACCGTCTGAAGACAGCCTGAACTCAAGACTTCAGTTGCACCTGAAACTCAACTCGATGGGGATTTTGTGTGTGTGTGTGTGTTTTTCCCCAGTGACATGGAAATGATTGGAACCCACCCACCCCTCCCTTTTTTCCTGGGGGGGGGAAGGTTGTTTTTCATAGGTCCTCGGATTTTGAAACATCCAACATCCCTGCATAGAGACAAATCTAGTCGGGTTGGCTGTTTTCTCTTTCTAAGCAATGTCGCTGGAGCTTTTGAAACAATACCTGCACAGTTTATTTTGCTTTCATTCTTTTTTATTCCCCTCTTTGGCCTGAAACTCATCGTAATTCCTTTTCTTCTTCATTACGGGCTCAAAAAGATTTTGCTGCCTACGTCGGAGCGCCCGACGGCCTCCTGCCGTTCCCAAATCCTGGTACGTCCTACTCAAAACCAGTGAAAAGAGATCTTGAAATGGGAAGCTTGGAAATCCCTGGCCACAGAAAAACACAGTAAGAAGAACCAGCCGTGGGATGTGTGTGCTTTGTTGGGGTTGCATCAATGGAGGCCCGTTCAATTTCACTGCACCCATGTTGTGCATTGGCAATAAAGGTTGTATTATTATTATTATTATTATTATTATTATTCAGATAGCAATTCTGCCCCTTTGGAGTCCCGGACTTCTCAGCGATTCCTGCACATAAAGCAGCAGCTTTTCTGATCCTCCTCCCTGAGGATCTGGTGGTGACCCTGCTCTTGATTCTCACAAACACGTCCTGCAAAACAAGCTGGGGAGGGCCCCCCCCCCAATAAGAAAACGTATTCATGCATCCAAAATTTTATAATTCACTTTTCAGGGCAAACGGCCGTTACAAAGTATTTGCATTAAGTTTTTTTTTTAAATAAGGGAAATATAATTTCAGTTTAACTGAAAACCTGGGCATTGATTTTTCTTTTTTCCAGCGGCTTGCCCGCTCTCTTATTGCCCTTTTTTGCCCCTTTCCATGAACAAACGGGAAATCTGGGGGAACTGCTCAACGTTCCTTAAACGTTCCTTTTAAAGTAACGAGAAAAACGTTCCTGGCCATTCTGGCCCTTCCCACCTGTTGTTCCCCCCCCCCAAAAAAAGAACTTCCATGCCCTCCCTCCCCTGCCTGGAAAAGCGAAGGAGGGAAGCGGCCTCGTTACTTTTGGTTCGACTCCCTACCCAGCCGTTCCTTCCTAACTACCTAACGTTCGTTCCTAACGACCAAAAGTCTCTGCCCTGGGCCTTCTGGAAAAGAAATGGCAGCGCCAACAACGGGGGGGGGCGCGTTCCTTTCCCCTTTTCTGCCTGAACCCTCAGCAAGCTTAGCACCCCCCCCAACCCCACTCCCACCCAGTCCGTGGCTGCAGCAGCTCGGGCGCATGCGCAGCTGCGTATCCGCGACGGACGGACGGACTTCCGCCGGGGACCAGGAAGGGGCGTGGCCTCGCCACCCACGAAGGCCCCGCCCCCCGGGCGGAGAGCGCGCCACGTCAGATGTGAGCGCTTCCGGAAAGAGAAGGGAGGGGGCGGAGAGGCTGGGAAGGGGCTGCGCGCGCAGGCGCGGTGCGTTCGGCTGCGCGGGGCCAGCATTCGGAGGCGACGCTGTCGTGGGAACGCCTCGACCCGCGTGTTGGGGAAAGGAGCAGGAGGTTGCTGGGGCCCGGGTCTCGCTCGGAGGGGGGTTTGGAGTGTGTGTGTGGGGTCCGGGGTCACACACCCCCGAGTCTAGGCTTCGGAGGGAGCCCAGGCTGCCTTTCTCGTCCATCATGGGGCGGGGAGTCCCGGGGGTGCTGGCCCTCCTGCTGGTGGCTGCCTTCTCGGCGGGGGGCTGCCAGGGGCTCTCCTTCCAGCTCCCGCCCCAGACCCGCAAGTGTCTGAAAGAGGAGCTTCACCGGGACGTCATGGTCACTGGCCAATACGAGGTGTCCGAAGCCGCCGCCCCGGGGATCCGGACCGACCTGAGGGTGAGCACCCCGGATCTTAAGCCCCTTCTCAGGGAAGCAACCCACCCACCCAACCCAAAGACAGCAGCCAAGAAAGGGTCTCCAAGCCCTTGGATGTGTTTTGCACTTTGGACATGCCCAGAGGCACTCACCTGCGGGTGAACCCCCCGGGCGATCTTAGGATCTTCCCGTCCAAACTGTCCTAGGAAAGGGTGGGAAGAGCTTGCATGGCCAAAGCGCCTTCTTCCCCCACCTAAGGGACTCCCATAATGTGGGTTTTGCCTTTTGCACATGCTCAGAGGCACAGCAGCGAGTGGCTGGTGTCGCCACGGCTGGATGTTTTTTTTTCCCTCCCCCCGCAGGTCACCGACTCCTCGGGACACCTCCTGTACTCCAAAGACGATGCCAAGAAAGGAAAATTCGCCTTCACCACGGACGATTACGAGATCTATGAGATTTGCTTTGAGAGCCACGGGCAGCCAGGTAGGAATCGGGTGGCGGGTTCGAGGGGCGAGTTGCCTTTTCCATCCAACCTGGGCCGCTGAGCCACCCAAAAAGGGCTGAATTCGGCTCCTCCGTCTCACTCGGGAGCCCGTCTTCCAGTTCCTTGGGTGAGATTTAAAGAGTTTTTAAAAAATTAGATACCAAGAATACATCGCAAGGACCAGTCCACTGTGGGAATCTTGCCTTTGATCTCATGGGTCAGGGTCTGGTAGGTTTACCCCATGGAGAGGAGCGAGCACTTTGCGCATGCCCCGGCCACTCATCTTAGGCTGAAAATGAGCAGGATCCCAATAAACCCTTCTCCCAGTTTATGGCATCTTTCTCACCCAATCTAAAAAAAAGAGAAGTCTATATTATCTTGGTAGAATAAACTACCCTATTTCGGATGTTTCTGTGAGATTTGGAGTTTCTTCCCATTGAAGCTTGCTGGAGTGTGTGCGCAGGACTGGTAAAGCCACTCCTTAAGTATCCCATATTTATAATGACCGAAGAAATAATTGACTTTTATTAAGTCCATTGAGATGGATTTTAAACATGTGTATATATTTTATCCCATCTATCTATCTATCTAATCTACCTAATCTATCTATCTACATATCTCTCTGGATTCTTGAATTTTTCTTCTCCGGATTGACAAATGTCAGGGCTTATGCAGAGTGCCCAGATAAATTAAAATTATTTGAAGCAGGTTTCTGTGTTTCATTATTCACCTATTTAAATATTTCACTTCCCCTTGAAAGTCCTGTTAGGTTTTTCTAGAAGTCATTTCCTACTTGATGGCTCCTAATAAAGCAGTCATTGGAAAAGTTCAGAGGATACCCAGTGTGGTATATTATGGGACAGCCCGCTGGACTAGAAATCAGGAGGTCTGAGTTTGAATCTCTCCAGACCCATGGAAACCCGTTGGCTTTTGCCTGATATGCTTTGCCCAGACTTACACGGCTACCTCCTCTAGGACTACAGCTTTTACCTGGGTGTGGAACGGATCAAATCGCTCCTTAAAATATCTCACCTTGAAAGCCCTATTAGGGACTCTTATAAGTTGTTTCCAACTTGATAGCACAGAACAACAAATACAGTACAGTTCAGGAACAATGGGCATTTTCTTTTAAGCAGCCCAGTGTCCCACTGATCCCACAGTAACGTCCTGGGTGGTGTGCCAGAATCCGTGCCAGTTCAGTATTCAGCAACCTTTGGAAAATCCACCCAGAACAAGCGGAATCTGCCATGAGCCAAAGCCAAGGAAAGCAGCTGGATATAGGTGGAGCCTGGGCTGTCACTGAGTAGGAGGTTGGACTTGATGACCTCTTAGGCCCCCTTCTGACTTCATTATGTGTCGCACATTTTAAATGCTTGTTTGGTGTGTTAAAGATCTAAAGCCGTGCCAGAACCTCGCTCCCTGGCAAGGAGAGGCCCTTTAGGCTCCGAACCATTCTTTATTTTTTTAATATCAATTTTCCATGTACTTCTCTGCTTAAGCCATGCACAAGAATTATTCGCTTTCTGCTCTTGTCTCCCTTGCTCCCATCTTCGACAACCATTTATTTATCGGGTCTTCTAGGGCATTTCCGGGTTCCCGAACAACTGGTGACCCTCAACATCAAGCACGGCGTGGAGGCCCGGAATTACGAAGATGTGAGTAAAAATCCATGCCGGATGGGCTTGGGTGCGAAGGGTCTTCCAGCCGTCTGTATGAGGTGATCTCGCTTCATCTTCGCTTTTTCCCGCAGATTGCAAAGGCAGAGAAACTCAAACCCTTGGAAGTCGACCTCCGCCGGCTCGAGGACCTTTCGGAATCCATCGTTAAAGATTTTGCGTTCATGAAGCAACGCGAGGAGGAAATGCGGGATACCAACGGTGAGGGTTTGTCTCGATTCCTTCGACCTTTGTATGGGTTTCTCTTCCATCTGCTGTTGACTGCTATAGGTTTGGAAGCGGTTGGGGACAGAGACCTGCCTTGTTTGCTTACGGCGGGCCCATCAAGCAGGTCCTGGCAAGCAGCCACAAGATGGAGAGTCAAATAAAGACTCCCTCCGTTGTTTCCTCCTGCCTTCAAGTCATCCACTAACCTTTGAGTCCTTTCTCATTTATTTAGTGTCACTGGCAAGTTTGGTGCTTCCCAGGTTATAAAAGGACTGGTCTTTGTCTCAAAGTGCTTGCAGTTTAAAATTCCTCGCAGGCAAAACATCTGAGGAAAGGGAAAGAAATGTCTTTTTGGAGGTGTGAACCAAATTACCACCTAACCAACAGCATGGAGTTCAGTTAAACGGGATAGTCGTTTTAAAAATACTATTTTTAATGTAAGCAGTTATGAAAACCTTTCCTTTCCTGTCCATGCAAAAAGCAAAACCTTCCTCTAAAACAGTGGGTGGGGCATAGGCCTTCAAATGCTATTGGACTACAACTCCCATCTGCCTCAGACAGTAGCGCTGATGGTGAGGAATGTTCCCAAGAGTGGCATTCTACCGCCTCTGTAGAGCTGCCTTTGGCTTCTCCCGCTGTAAGGTTAGCCTCTTGTCTCCTTGCATCAGAATCGCCCTCTGCAAAGGTAATTGATGAGATCTTTGGCCAGTGAATTAAAAGTCGTAGGAGTCTTGAATTGGATGGAAGCCCAAATTTGAATCACAGGAAGTTTCCTGGGTCCTGTGTCCACTGCAGGCTAGTATTGTTTGTCTTGGATATAAAAGGACTTTTCCTGTTACCGGCCATTTAATCCATCAGAATGGAGAGATTTGTGATGAAATACTAGACTGTCTGTGTGCAGACTATGCTATACCTCTTAAAATAAGCATCTCCCTGAATTTTGTTAAATGAGAGATACGAAGGGCTGACGAGCATCGACATAAATCTTACCGACGTGTCGCTTTTCTCTTTCCAGAATCCACCAGCGCGCGAGTCTTCTACTTCAGCATCTTCTCCATGCTTTGCTTGGTGGGTCTAGCTACGTGGCAGGTCTTCTACCTCAGACGTTTCTTCAAGGCTAAGAAACTTATTGAGTGATTTGGCCAGCTTGGGTTGTAGGGTGGGTGGAGAAGAACGAGGGGACCCGACCCTCCAGAGACTCCCGTCTTGGCTTCTCCCAGGATATTTGGTGTGGACCAAATTCTTCCTTCCCACCTCGTGCAGATCCCAAGACATCCGGATTCTTTTTTTAAAAAAATTAACACGATATCCCTTAGCCAGGAGCTTCGGTGGAATGTTGCAACTGGACTAAAACCTTTTTATCAACCAAAATGAAACAAAGCCATCTGATTCTGGAGGGTGGATTTGAAGACCACCAGCCTGCACCCATGCTTTTATTTTTCTTGGAGCGGACGGCCCCTTGGTGAGGGTGGGTGTTTAATTTGATTGTAGTTAATTAATCCCTCATGGCGGATCATACTGGAGAAGGGTTGGAAGTAATAAAGGATGGTTCCTATATGTTGCTGCTGTTGGAGAATTGAGGGGAGGTCATAAAGAGGGTCTTTTTTCCTCTGTCACTCCTGTGTCATCCGTGAATGGAAAACATAGTATTTTACAAGGTTTAGAATTTGCGCAGCTTGCTGTGAGGAATTTGGCACCTGCCAGGCAGTATACATATGGAAGAGGAATCTAATTCATTTGCTAGATTTTAGAAGGTTTCCCTAAAAGGGCAAATCTGGAGCCAGTCCTGAGACACAGTTAGTGTTGAGCTGCATATAATCATTTTTCTTTAAGGGAAGATAGACACACACACGTTCTAGTTTATGTCCACGTCTGATGGATGGCTTGACTTGCCTGAGGCTTCCTTCTGGAATCCAGGGTATCACCTCATGCATTTGGTGAAATAAAGGCATGGGGAAAAGGTGAAATGAAGAGGGACTGGTGTAGCCCCCGGAGAAAAGGGAGGATATAAAAGTTACAAGCTTTGCAAATCCCTGGCTGGTCAAAACGTTCCACTTTCTCTTATCGGTGTAGCAGCACATACTTGAAGATGTGATGCCCACCATCACCACATGAATGAGGAACAAGGGATTTTATGTCTTCTAAATGTTTCTGTGCAAAAAAAAAAAAAGGCCAATGAAGGGCCATGTACATTTATATTTAGATATACATGAACATTCTTTTGCATAGGGATAGTTTGACACAAAAAGCTTTAATGAGGTAGTATCACTGGTTTCTTGTTGTTAAGTGGAACTTAAATTTAAACTGAATATAGACTTGGAGCTTTGCAAGTGAGGTTCAGGTTACCTGAAATGATACCTCCGAACTACTGGAGAAACCGTGTCTATCAGAGGCCCTTGGCTTTCAGACTACAATAATTGGAATTTTTTGTATGTGTAAAACATTAGGCCAGGCCTGCGATGAGGTGGAGTGAGGCAACGGCCTTGAAAGACATAGGCTGCGTGCAGTTGTCATCTCGGCTTCCAATGTTTCTTTCTAGGGCACCCCCAGATGAGCCTGCATCCTCAAGAATTTTTGTTGTTTAGTCGTTGTGTCCGACTCTTTGTGACCCCATGGACCAGAGCACGCCAGACCCTGTCTTCCACGGCCTTCCAGAGTTCAAATTCATGTTGGTCGCTTCAATGACGCTGTCCAACCATCTCGTCATCTCTCGTCCCCTTCTCCTCTTGCCTTCACACTTTCCCAACATCAGGGTCTTTTCCAAGGAGTCTTCTCATGAGATGGCCAAAGTACTGGAGCCTCAGCTTCAGGATCTGTCCTTCCAGGGAGCACTCAGGGTTGATTTCCTTTAGAATTGATAGGTTTGTTTTCCTTGCAGTCCAGGGGACTCTCAAGGGTCTCCTCCAGCACCACAATTCAAAAGCATCCATTCTTCGGCGGTCAGCTTTCTTTATGGTCCAGCTCTCACTTCCATACATCGCTGCTGGAAAAAACATAGTTTTGACAGGACAGGAATACCCACCCGGAAATACTGGGTATGTTTCTGTCCAGTTGTCGCGCTGATTAAGGAGTGCCATCAGACAGGGAAATACAACTCATTTTGGACCACGTTGGGGCACAGTCAAGTGATTTCCCAGTGACGACACGCCGTAGAGGGAATGGTGAACCGCCCAACCTGGAGGTGCGCACAACGCACCTCTTTTTGGCCCAGTGGGAGGGCTGTGCTTTTTTGGGGTGGTGGGACCCCGTTCCTTGGCAGAGAGGTCCCTCTAAGAGAGATCACAGCAAAGTGGCCCTTCACGGTAGGATCCGGTGTGATCTTTCCACGTGATTCCTTGGCCCAGTCCTCTTGAGACTGGTGTACCTGGAATGGGGGAGGCGATGGATCGTGGGGTACATTTTATTGGTGGCATGTGGACTCCATATGATGATCCACCCAGACTGATGCAAGGCCCAAGATGGTCTTCTGCTCAGCCCACAAATAGATTTCTCCCCTGCTCCCCGGGAAATAGGTTTGGGGCCAAATCATGCCTCCATAGCCGCCAAGATGCATCCCCTTCTGGACGTCCCCAGTCATGCAAACGGCCTGGTGCTTCATTTTGAGAAAGACCCTGTCAAGTGTGCTCTGGAGCCACACCAGCTGTTGCCAAAAATATGCATAACTTGGTCAGAGCATTGGAAAGCCCCCTTATTTTTTTTTGGCCCGCCGATCCCAGAATTCAGCTTCGCTCCACCACTGCCCCATTGCAGTGAATGCTTGTGGTCTCATAGTATTTCTCTGGCCACATCTGGGGGGGAATCAAGAGGGACATGTAGATCTGATAATAGCAGGTCTAGCCCCAAAAGCAGTAACATTTCGCAGCTCTGAACTGGGCTTCTTCGATTTCCGTGTCTGTCTGTCTCTCTCTTTTTTTACAAAAAAGTAAATTAAAATCCGAAGTCAGTCCGGAAGCCAGTCTGTGCGTGTCACTCTACCACGGATAAGTCTATGGACTCGCGTTCTGGCAAGGGGGACCCGTTTTCCCGTTGCACCCATTGGCGGCCGTGTAGTTTCCATGGTAACGGATTCCAGGGCTTATCCGTAGATGGCGGCCGCGGCGTCCTCTGGAAGTACAGGAGAAAGGTAAAGAGAGTTGCAATAACAGGGGCCGAGATGACACACAAGCGCTTCTTTTAGCGGGTGGCCAATAAGTTTCCGTTCCCCCCCCTCCCCGGTCCCCATTGTGGTGGAAAGCTAGGATGGGGGGGCGCGGGGGGGGAAGGCTCGGACTCCTGGGTCCTCTGGAGGATGGAGGGTGTCTGTGGGTCACAGGGGGTGTTGAATTTGGTTCCAGAAGGCTGGTGGGGATTCCTCTTCCTCCCTCCCCCCCCCCCCAATTGTATCCCTGTCTGCTTTCACGGCATTCCTGAGTTGTTCTTAAAAGGTTTTCCAGGGTGCCAGGCGGAAATCCAACAGGTGCTGCTTTTCTCTTGCAGTGCCTTCTATGCGCTGGGGAAAAGCAGCTCCTTGCAGGGCTTTTCTGCCTTGCCCACAGAAGGACTGCAATCTTTGGTGACTTGAGTATGTGTGTGTGGGGTGATGATGATGATGATGGGGGGTGGGGGTCAGGGCACCGGTCAAGAGTGGCTGGAGGGATCCGGTTTTAGGACGGAGAAGAGAAAATGAAGGGGAGGCAGGAGGTTCACCCCCCAGCCGAAGCAGCCGGTCGCACTAGAACCAGCAAATAGAAAGGGGCGGGAAATGGGGATTAAACATTTTCTGTCCACAAAGCAACATTGAGCAGCAGAACAGATGCCTCTGGGGACGTACAGGGGTGGTGGTGGTTCTCCTTTAGTGCAAGTGTTTAAGCCGAGAGGAAAACAAGGATATTGCAGCCGCAGCCTGTACGGCCCTGAAAAGCGGGTTGGACTAGATGACCTCCGGGATGATTCCGGCGGAGAAGATCCTAGCCGTTTCCGATCTTGTGCAAGGAGGTTTGCCTGCCACCATCTTCTTGTGCAAGCGTAGAAACCGTCTCCAGCGTCTCCCGCGACCCACCATTTATGCCAGTGCAAGGGAGGAACAGGATTCGGCCTGGTTCTGTTTCTCCAGGAAAGGTGTTGGAAGGTGTTAAAAGGCCAGGAGGAAAGGAGGGTTTCTGGAAACGTTGGATCCGCGCGAAACATTCGCAAAATGTCTAAAGTCTCTATCTGTGTATGTTTTCTCTCCTTCCTCGCCCATCATTCCTGCTCCTGCCAGTACGCAAGCCCATTCGAAATGGCTGGATGCCCACTACGACCCAGTGGCCAACCTGTTCACCTTTTCCTCTTGCATCAGTAAGTGTCAACTCTTTCTCCCCTGAGAAGGGGGAACTTATTTCCTTTTTTTTTCTTTGACGGGGCAGAGGTGGAATCAAAAGGTGTGGGGGGACTGAACATGACTTACAACGGTTGAGGGGGGTAGATTTTGAAATGCCGTGTTTACACAAGGACGCAAGAAGACTGGCTTGAGACATTTCGCTCCCTGAAATGTCCGAATCAGTGAAGGCTCTGGATCAAGAATCTATCGGTGCAACTTCTGCTGCCTGAGGCAGTCACGTCACTCTGCCCAACGGTTGGGCAAGACCTGTTTAGAGATGCTTCACATCCTCTTTTTCTTCTTGTGACTTTGCGAGAGTGGTCGTATTGACCAGATAGGCGGGGTACAAATAGAATAAATGAATAAATAAAAATTTGCACTGTGGCATGGGGGCTGGATCTTGCTAGCAAGGGTCAGATACTTTCCAAGCGAAATCTTGATGTCGCGATCAAGAACAGGATAAGAGCAGTTGGTAGAATCAAGCTTCCCTTGGGTTTCCAGTATCGCATAACAAGAGACCTGTTGCTTTGTCATCTCCTCTTAGTGGAGACATATTAAAGCACCTTTACCGGCACAAATTATGCCAGGATCCCCAGCTCGCCTTTACTTCGTTCCACAGAAAAAAAATACCAAACGGAAACAAAACTCTGTGGACTTTACTATGAAACTAGACATTCAAGCCACAGTTTATGTTTCCTTGAAAATTCTATAGGTCTTGTCTCTCCTGGATTGATTTCTGGAAATGTTTCTCTCGCCCTTCCTTTCTGGCTTGTACCGTCCAGGGATTACATTGTGCAGAGTCAGGGAAAGAAACAGTCATTAAATTCTTGGGATCCACCCATCGTATTCCCCTTTAACTTGAGTCCACTTCTGCCTTCTCTGGTAGCCGTCTAAAAAGCAATGCCTGTGTGGTCATTTTGGCCCTTTGTATCCCGTCCCAATCCCCATATTGTGCTTTCACAAATTCTGCTTTGTCTTCTAGCCCTGGCTGACCTGCATGGTGATGGAGACTGTAAGGTAAGAGGGTTAGGGCTGTTCTGCCCATCATCTCTTTTCCGGATCGATACCAGTCTGTTGTATTTCTGTCATGTCCCAAACCAGTGGCCAGTCTGGTCCTTTTCATCTTCTGTCCAATCCTTCCTTTAGCCTAATCATCTGTTCATAGGATGCACCTATTAATGCATATATAGTGTTTTTCGAGTCAAGTCTCTGAGCGCATTTCGAGACCTTTCTGTTGTATGTCTTTGTTCCGAGGGTTTGCAACAGAGGTGGGCAACCCCCGTCCCTCGTGGCCCCTGGGGGAACCAGCCGTGCCACTGAAACGGATGCTGAGATTGTGCTGGTTGGCCCCTTTTGCATCACACCTTCTTGCAACAGGGAGAAAGAGGAAACGTTGCTGTGCAGGATAGCTTGGAAGTGTATCAGGGGCGCCATCGCCTCCTGGAACAGGACAACCACTGTCAAACGTTGACAGCAGGGGAAGAGTGCGTCTCTTTAAAGGTTAAGGGGGAAATGAAGTTCCCCACACCGGTTTGCAGCTTGGTGTGCCGCAGTGTGTGAAGAGTCTTCAGGCACACGCCGTGCGCTTACCTTTAAGAACCTTCCTCCTATCTCTTCTTTTTCTTCCTTCCCAGCTGGTGGTGGGTGACCTTGGCCCGACGGGGTATGAGATGAAGCTGAAGGTGTATCAGGGCATGGGCCTCCTGAGCGAGAACGCCCTGCCAGATCTGCCTGCCAGCGTTGTGGCCTTCTTGATGGACCAGCATGAGCCACGCGTGCCGGCAGTGGCTGTGGCTTCCGGGCCTTTCATCTACGTGTACAAGAACCTCCGTCCCTACTTCAAGTTTACTCTGCCTCCAATGGAACCGAATCCCATGGAGAAGAGTGTGTGGGACCAGGCGAAGGAGGTGAGGGAGGGGGGCAGACGTTTGGCTCTGAGAAAGAGGCTGCCTGCTGCCCTGCAGGCCTTGGCATTTGCTCTTCAGGCCCTTCTTTCCTTCCTTTTATCCATCATCAGCTCCTTCCTTCCTCTTATCCATCATCAGCTCCTTCCTCCCTTCCTCTCTCTCATCCATCATCAGCTCCTTCCTTCCACTTATCCATCATCAGCTCCTTCCTTCCTTCCTTCCTTCCTTCCTTCCTTCCTTCCTTCCTTCCTTCCTTCCTTCCTTCCTTTCATCTATCATCAGCTCCTTCCTTCCACTTATATATCATCAGCTTCTTCCTTCCTTCCTCTTATCCATCATCAGCTCCTTCCTTCCTTCCTTCCTCCCTTCCTTCCTTCCTTCCTCCCTCTGTGGGCGTGACAATCCCTTGATTTTATGCCCTGGCTTTCCACAAGACCAGCAACTGTTACGTGATTGATCGTGGGACGGAGCCTTTTCGTGGCTCCTATTTTGAAATAGGTAATTTGATCCAGAAGCCTCTGGGGAGCTGGAATGAAATATATTTGCAAGCTTATGAATCTAATGGCATATATAAAGTCAGTCTCTTAGATGAACAAGTGCAAATCACAGAGCAGATGGTAGCAGCGGATGATGCTGGGCCCATAACCTGTTGAGAGTTTAGTGGAATCCAAGCGAGTTCCCACAATTCTCAACACCTTCCAGCTGAGGTTAGTCTCCTATCTCCAGGAGAGAGTGGAATCACCGAGGCCCAGTGGAGTCATTCCTTTGGGTCTCTGCCTAGCTTCGTGGAGGAGTATCTGGCTGATTGCGGACAGCCGCTAACTCTCCTGTTTTCTCTTCCTGCAGGACAAAGTTGACCTTCTGTCAATGAAAGAGATGCTGGAAGAAATGCGGTGAGGAGAGCCCTGTGTGACCAGGGCGATGTCTTCTAAGTCTCCCTTGAGCTCTTTCCGAATGCTGGGAAGGTAGAAAAGTGAATGGAAGTGGAAAATCAGGCAAAAAGGCGGAAGAATGAAAAGCCAGAAAGCTCTCCTCTCTAGAGACAGCAATGTGATGGCACTCTAGCTGTTTTGGCCCACAACTCCCAGCAGACCTAGCTGGCATAGCCAGTGGCGAGGGACGCTGGGAGCTGAAGTTCCCAAACATCTGCCGGGCCAACGTTTTGAGAACCCGCCTTCTTAAGGACTCTAGAGAGTCCCACACCCGGTTTCAGCCTTTCCCAGCTTGCTGACATCACAGTGTTTTAGGAAACCAAGAAGGAGCCACGTGAAATACTTTAAATGACCCGGGCACAATCATTTGTCGCCTGTCTCTCTAGAAACCAAAGTTGTTTGGATGGTTGATGTGACATCTTCCCAGTGAGGCATCAAGACAAGTTGGTTCTACCCCTAGTGTTAATGGAAACCATTCAGAGGGATTCTCACCACTTCCTTAGTACATCTGGGAAAAGTTCCTGTTTCAGCGACAACTCCCAGCCACCTTGCTGGCTGTGGGATTCTGGGAGTTGTAGTAACACAAAAAAACCACACAACAGAAGCCTCTTTCCGAAGCTCTGTGCCAGTTTTATACAAGGGTAACTGCACTGCCTCCTACCCCAAATAGTCTTAGGAAAGATCATTTCATGAGGGTGCTGGAAAGTCTCGCTTTTTCACAAAATCCCTGTTTCCAGGATTCTCTAAGGAAGTAGAAGCCAGCGTTGGTACTTAAGTGGCCCAAGGTAAAGGTTAGGTAAAGGTTCACCTTGACATTCAGCCCAGTCGTGTCCGACTCTAGGGCGCGGGGCTCATCTCCGAAGTGCCCCAAAGACGGTCTCATCTAACCATCTCTGTCGGTCAGACTCCACCTCACATCATCTCCAGCCAGTATGCTAATGATTGTGATGTTTTGTCTTGTCTTCTAACAGGGAAAACTCTGAGATCCCCTTATCAGTGCAGTCCTTGAGGTGAGTTCTGTGACATGGTGTGTTCCCCCACCCCCCAAAATAAGACAGGGTCTTATATTCATTTTTGCTCCAAAAAACACCTTAGGACTTATTTTCAGGGGATGTTTTGTTTTACAGTCCTGTCCTCTTCTTCTGGTGGCTGCATAAGGGTGGAGGGCAGGGTTTCACTTAACTAGGGCTTATTTTGGGGGTAGGGCTTCTATGAAGAGCATCCTGAAAAATCCTACTAGGGCTTATATTCAGGTTAGGTCTTATTTTCGGGGGAACAGGGTAGATTTCCACGTGCCCTCTTTTGACAGCCTGGGTTGTGAGGAATGGTTTATACTTTCCGTTCAACGCTTAGGGGCAGGTAGATTGGGACGTGGTAGATCACCAGAGATTTTTGACTCCTGATAATTTAACAAGAGTCTTTAACATTTGCAAGGGAAAATCTCTCTCTCTCTCTCTCTCAGCCTTATTTCTCATTTGTGAACAGCTGTATGCAACGGTTATTTCTCATTTGTGTTTGTTCAGCTTTCTTGGGCAGGTTTAGAATGTTGTTTCAGAAGTCTTGATGTCCACGTAGCTTTGATGATTTCCCCAGGACAACTTTCTGGGAGTGTAACAGATCATTGACTCCTCCTAACCAGCAATTATATTACCCCTGATTCTGATTGTTTGGTAGACTTCAGTTTTCTAATTTTTAAAAATTAAAATCCTTGATGTCTGCCTAACCTTGGCTCAGACTGTAGGTGACGGGCCCTTCCATTCCTTTCTTGGAGATTCAGAAACCTATGCTGTTTTCATCATTTTCCTTTTCTAATTTATAGGTTCCTAACTCTCGATCCGCCTGAGATGGAATCTTTTGTGAACCAACATAAGCTGCAACCCATCAAGCGCCAGGTGACTGCCTCTGTGCCCGTCTGTGGGTGGAGTGGGAGTTCGGGAATTTAGCTGGGTGCCAACCGGTGCTCCCTCCCTGCCCCACCTGCCTGTTTCAGACTGTGATCACCTGCATGGCCACCCTGAAGAAGAACATGGTGGACGAGGATGCCGTCAGCTGCCTCGTGATTGGCACAGAGAGCACAGAAATCCTGATCTTAGATCCTGAGGCTTTCACCATCCTAGCAAAGGTGAGGTCCTGAATAAGACTCCTGTGTGACTCAGACACTTGCCCATTCCCATATGTTCTGAACAAACAAACAAAAAACACCCTATTTTCTCCATACATGTTTGTATTAGAGCTCGTCTGTCTTTGGCCACCCTCCAAATGTTGGAACTGGCTCTTTTAGAGAGAGATCAGTAAAAGATCATATGTTCAAGGAGTAGGCGTCTCTGGAGAGAATCCGGACTGAAAGCCTGAGATACTGGACTAAATGGTGGACTAAAAGGTGATAGGGTCTCGCTCATTAGAAGGCAGCTTCTTCTGTTTCAAATTTTGGCTAAACCTCCCAACCCTCCAGGCTGACTCTGTCCAGCAGCCTCTCAAGGGCCGCAGGTTGCCTCCACCCCAAATTTTACAGGTTCCCCACGAGGGCCAAGGGGGCAACCCAACCTCGCTTGCGTATTTTCTGCAGCGGCACGGTGTAGCAAACCCAGTTTTTGAGAAGCCTTCAAATCTTCCCGCCTCTCCTTCCTCCAGTCCCCTCTTCAGCAAAACGTCACGTCGGCAACTTTAAAATAAGCCCTAAAAGCGAATAGAAAATATTGTGTGTGAAAAAGGAAGCCTGCAGAGCTGATCTTGAGAAATCTTACATCCTGTGTGATGATAGTTGTCACTGCAAGTTGTTTATGCTGATAAAAAATTTTCCCCCACCCCTATTATGAAAATCACGTAGTTTTGTGTGTCCCCTTGGAATTTCTGGACACACTCCAAAGGAACACAGCGCTTCGCTTTGGGGCCCAGTGGGGTTTTGGCATACCATTCGATACAATACGCCTGGGGTGGAGACTTTGATTTACAGTGGGAAGATCTCCCAAGCCTCCTCCAGGCGTGGGACCCCTCACCGAGGGTGACAAGGGATAAAAAGGAAGAAATCTATACACCCTACACTTCCCTCTTGGTGAGGGAAACATGAGCTGTCTAGGGACAATGAGGTGCTAAGGATCAGCATTTAGCATTTTGAGAATCAAAGCTTTTAAAAAATGAGGGGTTGAAAGAGATGTAGCTATCTCTAACAGCTGGGTGCCCTGTATCCATGACATCACAGAAGCCTGGATTTGGATGTTAGGGCTTTTTTTTCAGGGGGGGACATCTCTTGTTGAACAGCGAGCCCCCTGACTACCCTCTCCTAGCCTGGCCACCCCAATGCTTGTCACTTCACCAGCTGTCCAGAACGGCTCGATCGCTCTGTGGTTTAAGGCCTCCAGCTGCAGAGGCGGGAGAGTTGGGAGTTTGATTCCCCACTCGGTGCCTCCTTGATGGGCTGGACTGGATGATCTTTGGGGTGTCCCTTCCAGCCTCTGCCATTCTAAGAGGAGGAGGAGGAGGAGGAGGAGGAGGATTGAACCTCGTGCCCGGGAGCCAGCTCTCAGCGCACTCTTCATTTCCCTCCATCAGATGACGGTGCCCAGCGTGCCAGCTTTCCTGGATGTCACAGGGCAGTTTGACGTGGAGTATCGGCTCACGGTGGCCTGCCGCAACGGGTGCATCTACATCCTCCGCAGGTGAGGGATGCGGGGAAACACAGCGTTGGAGTGGGGAGGTGTGAGAATTTGAGCTGACAAGTTTGCGTCCCAGATAAGTTTGAGAGCGAGCCTTAGCAGGGCTTAGACAGTGGGGAAGCCACCCAGAATCCCACTCAGCCTTGTTTATTTTATTTTATTTAATTTATTAGATTTGTACCCCACCCATCTAGACCAAAGGTCTACTCATACTACAGTGGTGCCTCGCTTAACGAGCGCACCGTAGAACGACGAATCCGCATAGCGAGGACATTCTAGCGATCGCAAATGCGATCGCATACCGATGGCCCCTATGGCCGAAAATTGCTTTGCGAAGATCGGTAAGCGTTTCGCGGATCATCTGTTCAGTGGCTCCAAAATGGCCGCCGGAAGCCCCCAAATGGCCGTGCACAGCGTTTTCGCGCCTTCCCCTCGCTTACCGAGGGCGCGAAAATGGCTGCCGGCTATAGGAAAACTTCGCTGAACGGTGAGTTTTGGAGCCTATTGGAACGCATTAAACTAAGTTTAATGCGTTCCAATGGCTTTCCCCGTCCAGTTCAGCGATGTTTTCACATAGCACTGTATTTATGGAATGGGAATCAAACCAAATGTTCAACCTCCCCCCCAGCAAGTCAGCTCAGGGCCCGATGGGTGACCCCGAGGAGACCCGCTGGAGCTGCTGACCGGAGGGCAGCCGGCGTTCTCTGGCTGCCAGGAATGAAGGGATTGAGAGTGGCTTGCTCAAGAACATGAGCCAGCCCTCTCCTGCTCCCGTCTTACCGATGCGGCGTGCCGCGTTAGGGGTCTGCGGCGATGGTGGGGCGTCTTTGAGGCAGGAAGCTGGAAGAGGTGGATTCACTCGGCGATCTGGAGCCAGTTTGATAAGCAAGATTGTCGATAAGAAATATGTGGCCAAGGAACACGAGCCCTCCGGATGGGACTGGGGTTCCTTCCCATCCACCCCCCAAGCTCATGGTAAGGGATGATGATGATGATGATGATGATGGGAGTTGTAGCCCAAACCTGTGTGCAGAGCCACGCCGTTGCCCCCTCTCTTAACGTCCAGCCCCAGACAAGAGTCCCCGGACGGACCTCAGGCTGCTGTGCATTTGGGGCCAGCCCTTCCTCGGGGTTGCCTTCCACCTTGGCCATGATCCTGACCCATTGTTTCCTTCTCTCTCTCTCTCTTCTGCGCAGGGAATCCAAGCGGCCCAAATATAGCATCGAGCTGACGGCTCAAGCGGTGGGTCTGGTCCGGGTGCAAAAGAACATCGTGGCGGCCTGTTCGGATGACACCTTGCAAAGCTATACTCAGAAGGTGGGGGCCGAGGAGGGGCGCGGGCACCTCTTCCAGGCGGGAGGTTTACGGATTGGGCCCATGGCTGGGAGACCCTGGGGTTTGCTTCCATGTCAGTGGCCCGGGACAGGCAAGGAAAATGTCCCCCCCCCCAGGCATTTAGATCATCTAGGCTCCGTTGTATAAATCAGAATTACATCAGCGTCAACTGAGACGAACTGAACTATGCTGTAGGGGTTTGGCGTCCGGCACGTGTATACTCTATGCGTGCCCCTGTGTTTTTCTGACCACCAGCAGGTGGCACTGCTGCTCTTCCTAATGTAGCCTCAAATTTACAGTGGTGCCTCGCTTAGCGAGGTTAATCCGTTCCGGATTAACCCTCACTCAGCGAATCCATCGTTAAGTGAAATAAAAAAGCCCATAGGAACGTATTAAAACTGATTTAATACGTTCCTATGGACTTAAAACTCACCGTTCTGCGAGTTTCCTCCATTGCGGCGGCCATTTTGGATGCCTCGTTAGCGAGGCAAAACAGCGGTCGCCATTTTGTTTTAGCGGCGGCCATTTTGGAACCGCCAATCAGCTGTTCGCTATGCTTTGATCGCGTCCGCGCGATCATCGCATAGCGAAAAAAGCCCATAGGGGCCATCGCTGAGCAAACGCTCCAGCGATGGCCCGGGACCCCTCATTGTGCGGTTTCATCGCATAGCGAAGCGTTCGCTATGCGAGGCAGCACTGTATTTGTGTATTTCATTCATTGATATACCGCCCGATGAGTGTACACGGAACATAGTGGTCTTTTTTTAAAAAAATAAAAGACAGCAAGAACAAAATAACATGAAATAAGGTGGTTACAAATTCATCTAGACACAGAAGAAGCCATCAAAGACTCCTGATGAAAAGGAGAGCAAGCCAAAGGTGGGGCGAGCACTTCCAGACCTGAGAAATCCCTTTGGGGTGGGGGCAGAGGGGGCAGATTGGAGTGGCGGAGGGGTGTTTCTTGTCCCATTGACGCCCTCTTCTCATCCTGGCAGGGAAAGAAACTCTGGGTGGTTAACCTGCCAGCCGCCCCCATCACGATGGCTCTCCTGGACGAAAAATTCCAGAGCTTCCAAGCGGTGCTGGTGGCCTTGGCCAACATGGAGGTCCAGGTGTATCGGGAGAAGAACCTGGTGAATGTCATCCAGACCCAGGTGAGCCGGAGCGTGGAGGAAGCCCACGAGGGCCCCTTGGGCTCCCGTCGGCTTTCGGAAAGGAGACGGGCTGCGTGGTGCAAATCTCGGTGCCAAACACCCCCTCTGTGGCCGCCCACCTTATTGCCCCCTCCGCCCTCACCCCGGAGCCGGAGGGGTGGCAGGAGTGAGCACCTCAGCTGTTCTCCTCCTCCTCCTCCTCCTCCCTTAAATTGAACCACGACACAAAAGTTATAAAAAGTAACTGGGATGTTACCGTTAGGCTATCAAAGTTGTTTTTCCTTAAACATCCCTTTTTATCTATCAGTGGCCAAAAGTCCTGTTTTTCAGAGTAGTAAATCACATCGAATTAGTGGGCTTTTAGTGAGTCAATTCCTCTGTAAGTTCCATTGGTTTCAATGGGCCTACTCTGTGGCTTTCATTGTTGTTTAGTCGTTAAGTTGTGTCCGACTCTTCATGACCCCACAGACCAGAGCGCGCCAGGCCCTCCTGTCTTCCACGGCCTCCCGGAGTTGGGTCAAAACTCTGTGACTTACTTGAGTGTAATAAGCCACCATGAGAATAGTCTGTTTGAACCAATAGAAGTCACAAAGGAGGTGATTCACTAAATCTGCCTTGATTCCATTGGCCGACTCTGGCATGATTTGCTCCGCTATGCGATAGGATTTTGGCCATTAAGTTAAATATAATGTAATGATATCCTTGTTGGGAGTTTGATCCTCCAGTGTCTCCTGGCCAGTGGCTGGACTCCATAATTCCTTCCAGCTTTGCAGTTCCAAGAGTATTAAGAAAAGGAATTAACAGAAAGCAAATAGTTACAATTAACTATGTACTTCCATGCTCTGGATGAGAGAGAAGAGGTGAGATGATGGGAGGAGAGTGTTGTTCCCTCCTTAATGGTGGGGCAGAGACATGCCGTAATGCTTAGGGGCGTATGTGCATGTTCCTCGGAGCCCAAATTGTCTTGTCTCCTGTCCTACTCTAAGGCATGGGGCGCGTAAGATAAAGGTGAGCAGATATCAGATTTCTGGGATCTGGTATGTGTGTTTTTACTACAACTCTCGAGGCTCACTATTCAGAAACGGATGTGAAATACCAGGACTGCTGTGGCCGCACATAAGTCAGTTGCTTGCAACGTCCCATGTTCTGTATTTTCGAGCATCAACCTGCATCTGATTTGCTATAAATCAGGAGTTCTGCGCAAATGCACACATGTTTTGTAGATGGGGAGGCTCAGAAAGAAACAAGTAGCATACGGCCTGCCGTAACAAAGTGGCATTAAAAACAAAACTAAAACTATCTATATTCCATGTTGTTGTTGTTTAAAGTTTAACTTTTAAGACCATCATAGCTGTAAACAACATGAACTTTGTAAACGTGTATCTTTGAAAGCCCCTTAAATACCTACCCTTTGAGAGATATTTTCCTCCTGATTTAATAGGGTCACTCACAAATACGAAAAGAGTTTTAGCCTTTAAAGTGGCAGAGAGGCAGAGAAGGTGTGCTTGGGATCTGCCAGGAATCCCTTGGCAGATCTCACCCAATCAGGCCTCCACACCCCTTCCTCTCTTTCTCCTGCTGGCAGGATGTCGTGAGCAGCATCTGCTTTGGCCGATACGGGCGGGAAGACAACACCCTCATCATGACGACCAAAGGTAAGACTAGGAGAAGCGGCTTGTGAAGCCAGACGGTCTCCCTTTGTCACTTGATGTCGTGTTCAGAGGTACACTGCCCCTAGTCCTGGAGGCTTCCAACTTTCTAACTTCAGGAGTCATACATTGTCCTGCTTTCAACGGCTCAGGGGCTAAAAGTAAACGGCAACCAAAATTTTTGCTAAAGGATCTCCTTAGAGAAGAAATCTCAGGCCTTTTTGGATAGAAGCAGTTGTTGTTTAACTCGTCTGGAGTCAAGAGTTCAGGCAGTACCCTCCATGGAAGCCTCTTCTTTCATTTTAAAACTGAAAATATAGGATCAAGCTTCTAGTCCTTAGTGATACATGGTAGGAGAGTCAAGCTTGGAACTTAAAGTTAGGTATTTACTGTTTCTCTGCCTCACCTTCTTTGCCTCCCATCCTTGTGTCTCGTCCTCTTTCCTGTTTCTTCCCAGGCGGGGGATTAATCATCAAGATCATGAAACGCACGGCCACGTTCAACAAGGGGGACGCTGTGGTTGGAGCCCCCATGGCCCAGAGCATCAAACTCAACGTTCCCAAGAAAACTAAGCTGTATGTGGACCAGACGCTGAGGGAGCGGGAGAGTGCCGTTGGTAAGCCCTGGGGGCTTTTGCTACCGAATGCACACAGCCATTAAGTCTGTGCCCCCCACCCCACTTACTGTATTTGAGATCCTAAGTTACTCCCCACGTGCACGAACAGAATTTCCCACCCAAAAGGGGAGGAGGTTCTGCTTTGTTGGCCTCTAGAAGCTGGTAGTTTTTGCACATGGGGCGGGGCGGCAGCCCCAGCTTTCCCCCCCCCAAGCATCAAAACTGAGAATGGATGTCTAAGCGCTCCTGAGTTTTGATTTTGCCATTTTGGCCCGCTTCTGGTCCCGATCCTAACTGCAAGAGATGCTGGGAATAAAAACCGGGCTCCCAGCTCCCATCCTCGCTGTCCGACCCCTGTCCTTCGTGGTTTCCAGCAGCCTCTCCGGAGCGAGAGTTGTGTTTTTCCCGCCTGACGCAGGGGGAGGACTTTCAGATCCTCTGCAGAATAAGCTGCCGTGGAAAAACTCTATAAAGGTCTAGACAGGAAGTGGATAAAAGTCACCAGTGTTTTTTTCTGCAGGATCTGGGCAAGATCCACGTGGAGCCCCAGATGTCTAGGAATCAGCCTTGATTCTCTGCCAGATCCCTCCTCTGTCAAGCTGAATGTTCTCCCTACCGGCGATCGCAATCATGAAGCCCAAAGCTCTAGGGCCTTATCCCAAATTCCCTCATCCGGTCCGTTTGGTTTTTGACAGTTTAACTGGAAGTAGTTTGTTACAGGCTGGAAGTGACTTTCTTGTCGTGTCCCGTTTCCCATGGAGGAGAGGGTTAAGGCAGTCCCCGGAGGCGCCTGGGTCCCCAAGCATGGCAGCCGGGCCCTCCGAGGTTGCTTGCCTGTGGCCTGCATGGGGTGGGAGCAACTCCCTAGGATTTTTAGGTCCGGGTCTTCCCCGCTCCTAAGTGGAGAGGGCAATGATGGGCCCTGAGACTTAAGGCATTATCCTACGAACCCTTTATGAAGAAGGCCAGAGTCCCGTTCCTCCTTGTTCTGGCTGAATGACTGATTTAGCAGGAAGACAGAAATTTCCTCTGTGCATGGTCAAAGTTTCGGTCCATTTCCTTCGGTACAGTCGGACCCCAGATCCGCAGATCGATTCCAAGATTCTCGGATCTCACCCGCTTTTACCTCTCCACTTGCTTTCCGTTTCCCTCTTCGCTCAGCCATGCACCGAGTGTTCCAGACCGACCTGAGCCGCATACGCCTCATGGCAGCGCGCGCCTACGTCCAGGCGCTGGAGTGTAGCATGGCGCCCATCTCGGAGTCGCTGCAGGAGCCGATCAAGATGAATGCAGTGGTGAGGGGGAAAGGTGGATAAGGGATGGGGAGGGCTCGTGGTCTACAGCTTAGCGAGGTCAGCGGTGGGTGGAAGATGCAGTTGGGAACCCTGTATCTGCAGAGGATCGTTTCCCAGCTACCCCCACCCTCCGCAGATCTTGAAAACCGTGGATAATAGCAAACACTAGTACAGTAAAATACAGTAATGGCACTCTACATAGTATGGTCTCTGGCGCCTTCTAGTGGCCAGTTCTGCTAAATACAGTGGTGCCTCGCATAACGATGTTAATTGGTTCCATTAAAAACATCGTGATGTGAAAACATTGTTAAGCGAAACACCATTTCCCTTAGGAATGCATTGAAAACCGGTTAATCCGTTCCAATAGGAGCCTATTCAATGCATTTCAATGGTGAAAAAAAAAATCACCAAAAATTCAAAAAGACTCAGAACGAAGCCAAATTACTTTAACAAAAGTTTTATTAGGTGCATTAACGATTCCAAGCATTTTAAACATTTTTTTAAAATGTATAATATTTTTAAAATAGCGAAAACAGGGCAGTCAAAAAAAACGTTAAGTGAAACAGGGAACCTAAAACTGTCATCGTTAAGTGAAGCAAGGTCCCAAACATCGTTATGCGAAAATCCCCCATAGGAAACATCGTTAGGTGAGGCGGCAAAATTTCCAGAAAAGGCCATCGTTATGCGAATTCATCATTGAGCGAGGCACTCGTTAAGCGAGGCACCACTGTACATTGTAGAAATACCTATTTCTGGGATTTTTGCCTTTAATATTTTCAGACTGTAGATACTGATCCTACGGGGGCCCGACTGTGTTTTGCCCTTCTTCTAAATAAGTTGGAAGGGTCTATGTGCCTCAGGGTTGATGAGTCTGGAGGATATTGACCCTGCCTGTCAGGATGAGCTTGAAGGGAGGCAATATGTCTTAAAATGGCGGAGAGATGGAGGTTGATAGGAACCAAAAAAAAAATCTCCACAACCCTCGTTTGCAGCCATTGATGGGTGTCTCGTTGATGGAAGGCAGAAGTCGTTTGGGACCAGAATTTGTGCTCCTTCGATCCCCCCCACTTCCTCCTCTAAGGGTGACATCGGGGGCTCCCTTGCCATTTTCAAGTCCTGATCGAATGAACCTTTCCCTTTGTTTGTGTGTTCACTCCCAACCACACCGCTGCATTTTTTTAAAGGTCCCTTCCAACCCCCTGGATGAGAAACAGAAATACAACGGTGTGCAGTCTTTCCGGGACATTAAAAATAAGGGGGTCCCCCTCATTCCTATCCTGGTGGGAGTCTGGATCTTTGATCCGTCTTCAGCGACGCCGAAGGCTGAAAGAGCAAATCCAGGAAAGCAGCGAAGTAGAGACCCGAGTGGGAAACTCGGAGAAAAGGGAGAGAAAACGGCTGTGTTAAAGGATAAAGCCAATCTCTGAAACCTTGATCTTGGGAGGGGCCAGGTTCCCCTTGTTCAAAAGCAGATGCCACGTGGCCCTTCGGAGCAGGATCTCCAGACCAAAGACCCCTCCTAGTTGGAGTCATGGGGGGGGGGATCTTCCAGGTACACTCTTCTCCCCCCACCCCCATAGGCTTAGTTTTCTCCAGCACATTCTCTCTCCCTTCCCCAGGTTCAGGGCATGGGCCCCAAGTTTAAGCTGATCCTTAACCTCCAGAACATGTCGGACATCCGGGCGATCGCCGGCCTGGTAATCAGCTTCCTCTATGATGAAAAGCTGTACTCCGTCCAGCACCCTTTCTTCAAGGTAAGTGCCTCCTTCTCCCGAGCGATGGGGTGGTGGGTGGGTTGGCCCTCACTCCCCAAGTTATCTTTTACGGCCCAAAAATAGCTTGGTTCAGGTCTGACCTTGAATGTCCGTGTTCAGTTCTGGGCATCGTGCTTTAAGAAGAAGGCTGACCTCGTGGGAGCAGGTTCAGTGGAGGGCGACGAGAAGGATCGGGGGGGGGGCTGGAAACCAAGCCCTCGGAGGAAAGACAAAAGGAAATGGGCCTTGAAAAAAGAAAACTGGAGGGGGAGATAGGATGGCACTTTTCAAATGCAGGAAAGATTGCCATCCAGGACGTGTTAATATTAAGGTGAAGTGACAGAAAGCCAGATTTCGGGTGAATATCAGGAAAAGCTTCCTAACTGTTAGAGCAGTACGACGACAGAACCCTTGACCTCGGAAGGCGCTGAGCGCTCCAACGTTGGAGGCCTTCAAGAGGAAATGGGACCGCCCTCCGTCAGATCTGCTTTGATTAAGGTGTCTGCCTTGAGCAAGTGGCCAAGAGTTGGTATTCTTCTAGGCTCGCTTCCAATTCCGCGATTCTGTGATTCTATAAAACATCGTTAGCAGAACCGACTTCTCAAGGGTGTCGTTCCCAAGGTTCTAGGGCGCAACGCGCCTTCAGCATCCAACCCTCGTTTCCTCTGACTCCCCGCCTTTGGTCAGAGTCCAGCAAGTGTGGTCTCCGACGGGACATATTTGGGGAAAACAACTGTGTGTTGCTGAAGGCAGCGATCCTGTTGCCTTCAGACAAGGCGCCGTACTGTAACCACCAAGGAAGTAAGATTAGCCTTCCAGCCTGGTCAACCTCCTTACGTGCCGTAGAGGGAAGGCCCGTCTTCCTTCCGAGTTGCCGATTGCCACCTGGCCCTCCGTCTTCCTCCTGGGAGTGTAAATCCCGAAGAACCCCTGTCTTTCTCGCCCTCCTCCCTGCGTCTCCCTTCCCATGTTTCTCCTTGCATTGAGGACGATCTTTCCTGTCTCTCTCTTCTTCTCTCCCCTTTTAGGCCCCTATGTTGGTCCCAGGACTGAATTACCCCCTAGTAACCTTTGTGACCTGTCTCAGCGACCAAGCCATCTCCGATATTATTAAGGTCGGTGCCCCCCCTCCTCCCCCCGTTTGATTTTCGTCCCAGGCTGGAAAGATTGGACCCTTGGGCTTCCCTTGCGGTCTTAGCAGCCTCCGGCAGGCTGCCGCCCTTCTGCCCTTTTTTAAAAAAAGCAGCCGTGTGTGTTTGTTTTGATCCCAGATTCTTGTAGGCAGGGATTTTTTTTGCCTGCCCTCCGGCACGCCAAGGTGTGCGCGTGAGCGACCCGGGCATCTTTTCCTCCGCTTTGTGCCTCTTTGTCCTCCAAACCTCACCCCTAAGATAGCTGAGATGGTGTGTCGGGACAAACCCTCATGGGTTCGAAGCTCAAGGGCGATCTTCCAGGTCCCAGCCCAGCCCACCAGCCAGTACCCTGTGCTCGTTCTCCAGGCATGGTATGCACGTCTTCCACGTCCCGCACCCAGATGTGCTTGCGTTCCTCCCCCATCCCACTGTGATCTCTTGATGATGGATGGATGGATGGATTGAAAATATTTTTCTGAAGATAGTTTCAAGCCAGCCTCCCACGATCATTCCTCCTCGCAGCCCACTCTGTCTCTCTTCTGCTTTGCAGGTGTTCGTGTTGCGCGAGGGGGAGACGGAGCCGCTGCTCACGGCCCACATCAGCATGCCTGTCAGCGAGGGCCTGGCAGGAGTGTGAACAACCTCGGGGCGGGGAGGAAGAGGAACAGTCTTGCCTGGCGCAGGGGCACTCCCCC